CTGGCTGTAGCCACAAATCTTCCGGAGTAAGGTGAGTAGGTTTGGCTGGGCAATTGAACAAGTGCAGTGTGGTATGAGGGCCTGTACCACATGCTGGGCAGACATCTAGCACCTGGTCATCAATCCGTGCCCAATACGAATTGAGCCGACTGCACCATCCAGAACGTAATTGAGCCAAAACTACTCTGGTTTGTCTGGGCAGCTGACGTTCTTCAGCTGCTATGGGTGGGGGGTGAGCTCCGAGGACGGCATTCACTTTGTAACCGTTCAGCGCTGCGGCTACTGCATCTGTAAGAATGCCATTCAGACCCGCTCGATAGGCAACTTGATCTAGAGGCTCCCTTTTGTATCGTTGGACCTCTCTCTCTAGATCATGCAGATCCTTCCTGACACGCCTGGGCGGGGGAGTCCTATCCACCATGTAATGGTTGGGATGATCGTCCCTGAAACACCCAAGCAGGTACTGCAACGAAAGCATATTGCTATGCTGACGTACGGGAAGGATCTTCCTCTCCTCATGAAGATGGTCCACTGGTGTCATGAGGAGGCACCCTGTCGCTGTCCTCAGGGCGGCATTCTGACAGGTCTGAATATTTCTCCATTGCGTATCACTGGAATTCGCAGACCACACTGGAACCGCATAGCTAGCCACAGACCGACCTATCGCTTTGTAAGAGGTCAACAAGGTTTCCTTATCTGCGCCCCAAGTGCTGCCGGCAAGCGACTTGAGGACCTTGTTCCTACTTTTCAGCTTATCGCAGATAGCTGTGGTTTGCGCGGACGATTTGAACATGCTGTCAAATGTGACCCCGAGTATTTTGGGGTAGTTGGTGGTCGGAATTGTATGCCTCTCGACCTGCACATTCAACGGCATTCTCATCTCCGCAGTCCATGTGGTGAAAAGTGTGGCTGACGACTTCGAGGCGGATATTTTCATATTCCTCGCTTTGAAGAATGCTGCTAAATCGATGAGATATGCGTTCAACTACACACATATGTCTTCAACAATGGGACCCGACGCCATAATCGTACAATCATCTGCATACGTAACGATTTCTATGCCGTCCGGAGGGCGTGGAATACCGGAAAGGTAGAGATTAAACAGTTCCGGAGAAATCACTCCACCTTGGGGAACTCCCTGTTTAACTCTACGGGGTTTGGACTTCTTGTTCCGGAACTCCACGTACGACTGGCGTCCACACATATAGTTGATTATCCAACGTTTCAAACTCGGCCGGAGGGAAGTGTTCTCAATGTCCTCAAACAGCGTGGCATGGCTGACAGTATCAAAGGCTTTTGATAGGTCAAGCGCTACCAACACTGTTCTATCGCATGGCCGGTCCTGGTTAAGTCCTCTACTTATATGCGTAGAAATGGCGTGCAACGCTGTTGTTGTACTATGTTGCTTACGGAATCCATGTTGATGATCCGCAACTGGATAGCTTTCTCTAATGCTGGGGAGGAGTAAAGCCTCAAGGGTCTTCGCTACTGGCGACAAAAGTGAAATCGGCCTGTACGATTCACCTTTGCTGGCATCCTTGCCCGGCTTCAGTAGCGGGACCACCCTGCCCATAGTCCAGGCTTCGGGGACGACGTGGGTGGCTATCGACAAGTTGAGGACGTTGGTCAAGTACTCGACTCCTGGCTCGTCCAGCTGCTTCAGCATACACATAGATATTCCATCTGGTCCCAACGCTTTAGATGACTTCGCGTTACGGATGACATATGCAACATCACCCATCGTAAACTGTGGTGGTACCTCCTCGGCTGGAAGAGATCTTATACGACGAAGTACTCTTCTCTTCGCCCTGTCGCTCTCGGGATGCTCGACAAACTGTCGGTTAAAATGACTTGCGCATCTCTTCGGATCAGTCACAGTTTCGTCGTTAAATGTGACTGAGGTCCTATCATCCTTTTTACCAGGGTTCGAGAGCGACTTAACCGTTGCCCACAGTTTACTTACTCCGGTACCAATGTTGCAACTCTTCAGGTGCTCCAACCATCTATTCCGCTTGTGCTCCGCGACTAATCTGCTGACCTCCAACGTGAGTTCCCTGACCCTGGGATCTGCTGGGTTAGATCGACGGAGCTCATCACGCTCGTTTGCCAGACCAACTGCTTCTGCTGGGAAATTGGGTCTCATCTCGGGTATCCGACCAGCAGGTATAAATCTAGCAGCTGCAGCAGTGATGATGCCTCGGAATTTCCTTTCTGCTACCCGTACATCAGAAGGAATGGAAAGTTCTCTGAAGCGTTGGTTGGTGAACTCTCTGAAACCTTGCCAGTTAGCTTTCCTATGGTTAAGGAAAGTGCGGCGTTCAGAGATGACGAAATCGGGCGGTCCGCTGATGGAGACGTTTATGGGGAGATGGTCTGATCCAAGATAAATGACGGGCTGCCAGCTGACGTCATTTATCAGACCCGGTGACACAATGGTTATATCTGGCGAACTGTGACACTCTCCCCTTATTCTGGTGGGGGCATCCTCATTTACCGTGCAAAACGTGGAGCTATCAATTTGCTCTGCCAGCACTGATCCCCTCTGGTCATTACCTAGGACGGAATGCCACAACTCATGGTGGGCATTGAAGTCCCCTAGCACCAGGCGGTTATTGCCCTCCAATAGAAAACTAATGTTGGGAAAATAACGCGGTTCACAGCTGTTAATCGGCGGTATATACACGTTAAGCACCTCTACCTCGGCAGTACCACATTTAACTGCTACCCCCATACATTCCATGTATGGGTCACTAGAGTCAAGCTCAAGCGAGATAGGCCTGTATTGAACAGAGTGGTGCATAAGGAATGCTAGGCCTCCACCTCCACTTCTGGTGCGATCCTTCCTCAGAACGTTGTAACCATCACAACGCTGTAGGCTACAATTTTCATTGAGCTTGGTTTCCTGCACCGCCGCGACCAAAATATTCTTCCGATTCATGAAATCCACTATCTCATCTATTTTTCCTCGGAGACCGTTGCAATTAAATTGCAGAAACGATGCACTATCAGGGGTGGGAACAGCAACGTGCGGTGTTAAGTGCTGCATACTTGGTTGCTGTTCAGGAGACTGCGGTGGAGTTCCGTACTCCGACGAAGAAGACGACGACGTAGACGAAGACTCACTGGGGATTGCGCTGTCGCAGCACGAGGCAACGTAATCCCTATCGCTGTAATCTCGTAACCGGGCCAACCCGGAACAATTCCTGAAGTGCACCCACTCCCTGCACCCATTACATCTCACCGACACTGACCTGTGGTGAATGATGTTCTGGCAAACCGAACAGAACCACGGTCCGGGGTTTTGTTCGATCCCGGCACGGACCAAAAGAATCCGGAGCAAGCATTCCGGGATATGTTGCTCCCAAAACAGAAAAACAATACAAACATATATTGCAGTAGTGGGTAATGACAGCTGATTTAGCTAATCAGCTGATTTTTAGTGTGACAAACATTTTCTAACACAAACTTTTTAATTTCATGAAGAAATTTAAGTCTTTAAACATTACCTGACAATTAACCATGTCAAGTGCATTATCTGGGTTCTTTTCACGAAAAAGAAAACGTCGTATACAGATTATGGTAATGTAAACCCACGTTAAGTGCTATCTCTATCCCTTCTTCTTTTAGACTTCTTCTAGAAAAATTGCCATAGAAAAAATAGCTTTAATAAAACCTCTATTCCACGACAAATTAATTAACAACCTTCAGATTCTACGTATGTATATGTGCGTATCGCTACTTCTATGTGTCAGTGTGTGTGTCCTTTATATTGGAATTTCTAGTATTTTTTTTTTCATTCTTTTTCATTCCTCACTGGTTTAGTTTTGAACTTGACACTTTGTTCAAGGACTTACACATTTGCAGTGATTATATATACACACATATATTATATATGTACAACAACAACTGCGGGAAAAAAATCGTCACACACATTTATATATACGCCCACCTTTAACTCCTTTACTCGCTGAAATAATCAACTAATATTCTTTTTTTTTAACAATAATGAAAAATGTAAATATGTATAATAACAAGATGTGTCATCACGTACATATGGGGATTTTATTTTTCACATAGATCGGAAAGGTGTTAGAGGGATTTTGCACGTGAGAAAATAATGAAAAGAGAAACCTAAAAAGTAGTAAATTTAATGTTGGGCGCCATTTTCTTTTTTAATGTGAAATGTAAATAAAAGAAAATCCAAAAAGAAATAAATTACATGTTGGGCGCCATTTTCTTTTAATGTGGGATTTAATTTTCCTCAACGTCAAAAGGTGGTAGAGGGGATTTTTAATGTAAATAAAGAAAAACTAAAAAGAAATTAACTTAATGTTGGGCGCCATTTTTCATTTTATGTTCTCTCTATATATGGATATTTTATTTCCACAAAGTTCGGAAGGTGTTAGAGGGATTTTTGACACGAAAAAAAGAAAAAACTAAATTAATGATGGGCGCCATAATAATTTTATTTCAGTTCGGAATGTTGTATAGGGGATTTTTATTGTAAATAAAGGAAAAGAAAAAAATATGTTGGGCGCCATTTTCCATTTTTTTCTTTTTATATGGGGACTTTTACCAAATTCGAAAGGTGGTAGAAGGATTTTTTATGTGAGAAAATAAAAAAGAGCAAACTAAAAAAAAATAAATAAATTTAATGTTGGGCGCCATATTATTTTCATTCGAAATTTTTTTCTTTAAGTTCGAAAGGTGTTAAATGAGGTTTTTATTGTAAATAAAAACAAAAAAGAAAAAATATATGTTGGGCGCCATTTTTCTATTTATTTGTTTTCATATAGAAATATATTTTCCACAAAGTTCGGAAAGGCGGTAACGAAATTTTTCACATAACAAATAAAATAAAAATAAAACCTAGAAAAAATTAAATTAATGTTGGGCGCCATATTATTTTCATTCCAAATTTTATTTTCTTTAAGTTCGAAAGGTGTTAAATGAGGTTTTTATTGTAAATAAAAACAAAAAAGAAAAAATATATGTTGGGCGCCATTTTTCTATTTATTTGTTTTCATATAGAAATATATTTTCCACAAAGTTCGGAAAGGCGGTAACGAAATTTTTCACATAACAAATAAAATAAAAATAAAACTTAGAACAAATTAAATTAATGTTGGGCGCCATATTATTTTCATTCCAAATTTTATTTTCTTTAAGTTCGAAAGGTGGTAACTGAGGTTTCAATGTAAATAAAGGAAAACAAATATGTTGGGCGCCATTTTCCATTTTTTTTTCTGTTCCTATGGTGATATACTTTCCACAATGTTCGGACGTGTGGGAAAGGGATTTTTCACATGAGAAAATAAAATAAAAGGAAACCCTAGGAAAAAAATTAAATTAATCCGAGGTTGGTTCAGTGTTTTTTTTTTACGAAAATAAAAGATGTGTCATCAAGTTCATGCGGGGAATTTGATTTCTCATAGATCGAAAGGTGGTAAGGGGTTTTTCAAAAGAAAAAAAGAGAAGTAAAAAAAAATACATTTAATGTTGGGCGCCATTTTCTTATAATTTGGAATTTTATCTATAAGTTCGGGAGGCAGCAGAGGGGGTTTCTAATAAAGAAAAGATAAAAAGAAATTAGCTTCATGTTGGGCGCCATTTTCATTTTCTCTTTATATGGAGATTTTATTTCCTCCAAGTTTGAAAAGTGGTAGAGGGATTTTTCACATGAGAAAATAAAAAAAAGAAACCCCTAAAAAAGAAATAAAATTCATATTGGGCGCCATATTATTTTCATTCGAAATTTTATTTTCTTTAGTTGGAAAGCTGGTAGATGAGGGTTTTAATGTAAATAATAAAAAAATAAAAACGGAAAAAAATTATGTTGGGCGCCATTTCCCTTTTGTCCTGTTCCTATGGGGATATACATTCCACAAAGTTCGGACGTGTGGGAAAGGCATTTTTGACATGAAAATAAAATGAAAACCTAGACAAAAAAAATAAATTAACGTTGGGCGCCATATTATTTTCATACGAAATTTTATTTTCTTCAAGTTCGGAAGGTGAAAGAGGAATTGTTAACACAAATAAAGTAAAACTAATAAGAAATAAATTTAATGTTGGGCGCCACTTTCCATTTTTTCTGTTCATATAGGGGTTTATCATTCCACAAAGTTCGGAAAGGTGGTAAAGGGATTTTTCAAATGAGAAAATAATTTAGAAAAAATAACCAAGAAAAAAATTAAATTAATGTTGGGCGCCATATTATTTTCATCGAAATTTTATTGTCTACAAGTTCAGAAGGTGGTAGAGGAATTTTTAACTCAGATAAAGTAAAATTAATGAAAAATAAATTCAATGTTGGGCGCCACTTTCTATTTATTTTCTCAAAATTGGAGAGGAGGTAGGTGTATTTTATAACTGAAAAAATTAATAAAAGCAAATTGAAATTATATAAACTGAATGTTGGGCGCCATTTTCCATTTTATTTTCTAAAAGTTGGAAACGCAGAAGATGTGTTATTTTTAATAGACACATTTAAGTAAATTAAAACAAAAAATCAATAAACTTAATGTTGGGCGCCAGTTTCCATGTTTTAATACGGAATTTTAATTTTTGCAAAGTTTGAAATGGAGGTAGAAGAGTTTTTTAATAGGAAAATATAAATAAAACTAAAAATAATTTAATGTTGGGCGCCATTTTCCATTTTTATGTTCATTTGGTTTAATTTTTTTTAAGTTTCAAAGGTGGTAGTTGAATGTGTTAACAGATAAAAAAAATAGTGTTGGGCGCCATTTTCCGTTTTTTTTTTAATTTGGGAATTTATTTTCTAAACGTGGAAAAGGCGATAGATGAGTTTTATTACCAGGTAAATGTATATGAAGTACAACTATAAAATAAAACTTTAATGTTGGGCGCCATTTTCCATTTTTTTTTTTCATATGGAATTTTATTTTCTCAAAGTTCGGAAGGTTGTACAGGGAATTTTATCGGAAATCTAAAAGGGAATAATTTAAATATTGGGTATCATTTTTCATTTGAGATTTTATTCTCTAAAAGTTCGGAAGGGTTTTAAACAGTTGTTTAAAGGATGAAAACAAATAAAGGGATGAAATAAAGTGAATTAAATGTTGGGCGCCATTTTTCATAAGTGATTTTATTATCACCAAGTTCGGATAGGAGAGTTTTAACTGAAAATGTAAATAAAATAAAACTTAATTAAAATAACTGAAATGTTGGGCGCCATATCGCTCTTTATATATATATATATATATATATATATTCGGATTTTTTCTCGAACTTCGAAAGGTTGTTGAAGGGGTTCTTAACGGATAAAAATAAATAAAGTAAAACTAAAAAGGAATAAAACTAATGTTGGGCGCCATTTTTCATATGGAATTAAATTTTCTCAAACTTTCGAAGGTAGTAGAGCGGGTTTTTAACGGATAAAAGTAGATAAGTGAAATCTAAACTGATTTTTTTCATATGGAAATTTATTTACTCAAAGTGAACTTTCTGAACTTCCGAACTAAAGGAGTTTTTTAACTGAAAAAATAAAAAAGGAATACTTCAATAAAATCAATTTAATGTTGGGCGCCATAATCCATTTTATTTTCGTGTGGCATTTCATTATATTAATGTTGGAATGGCGCTTGAAGAATAAATACAAAATTGGGCGCCATTTTCATATGAGGTCATGAGGTTTTATTTTCTAAAAGTTCGGAAGATGGTAGAGGAGCATTTTAACAGAAAGAAATAAATAAAAGAAAACTGTAATTAAATTAATTTTATGTTGGGCGCCATATTTGATTTTATTTTAATTTGGGATTTTATTTCCTCAAAGTTCCGAAGTTGGAAGAGGGGTTTTTAGCGCATAAAAGTAAATAAAGGAAATCTAAAAAAATAAACGTAATGTTGGGCGCCACATTCAATTTTGAATTATATTTTCTCAAAGTTCGGAAGGTGATAGAGGGTTTTTTTAATAGAAAAATATAAATAAAAGAAATCTGAAATGAATTAAACTTAATGTTGGGCGCCACTTACCATTATATTATCATTTCGGGATAATATGCCATCTGGCGAAGAAGAATAAAAGTTCGGAAGGTGGTACGAGAGTATTTTAACAGAAAAAAATTAATAAAAGAAAACTTTAATTAAATTAATTTTATGTTGGGCGCCATATTTGATTTTATTTTAATTTGGGATTTTATTTCCTCAAAGTTCCGAAGTAAGAAGAGTGGTTTTTAGCGCATAAAAGAAAATATAGGAAATCTAAAAAAATAAATATAATGTTGGGCGCCACATTCAATTTTGAATTCTATTTTCTCACAGTTTGGAAGGTGATAGAGATATTTTTTTTTAATAGAAAAAAGATAAATAACAGAGATCTGAAATAAAATTAATTTAATGTTGGGCGCCACTTACCATTATATTATCATTTCAGGTTAATATGCCATCTGGCGAAGAATTTTAAGTTTGAGAATTTTCATATTTGAAAATCTTCATAGAAATTCACCTAAAAATTAAAAATAATTAGAGACTAGAATTTTAGAGAATTTTAAGTCTAAGAATATGTTAGGTTTCTGTTCAATTTAATATTGGGCGCCAGAATCCATTTTATTTTCGTGTGGCATTTCATTATTTTAATGTTGGAATGACGATTGAAGAGTAAATTCAAAGTTGGGCGCCATTTTCATAGGTCGTTTTATTTTCTAAAAGTTCGGAAGATGGTAGAGGAGCATTTTAACAAACAAAAAAATAAATAAAAGAAAACTTAAATTAAATTAATTTTATGTTGGGCGCCATATTTGATTTTATTTTAATTTGAGATTTTATTTCCTCAAAGTTCCGAAGTTAGAAGAGGGGTTTTTAGCGCATAAAAGAAAATATAGGAAATCTAAAAAAATAAACGTAATGTTGGGCGCCACATTCAATTTTGAATTATATTTTCTCAAAGTTCGGAAGGTGATAGAGAGATTTTTTTTAATAGAAAAAGATAAATAAAAAAAATATGAAATGAATTAAACTTAATGTTGGGCGCCACATACAATTTTATTATCATTTCGGGATAATATGCCATCTGGCGAAGAATTTTAAGTTTGAGAATTTTCATATTTGAAAATCTTCATAGAAATTGACTTAATAATTATAAATTAGGGACTATGAATTTTATTTTCTTTAAGTTCGGAAGGTTTTAGATACATTTTGCAAAAGTAAAATATATGTAAAAAAAATGGAAATGAAAAAAACTTGATGTTGGGCGCCATATTTCATGTTATTTTCATTTTGAGATATTATCTCAGCTTATGAAGAAATATGAGGTTGAGAATATGTCAGGCTGGTAATCTACATTCTCATTGTTCGAAAATCTTCATAGAAATCGGACTGAAAATAAAATCAGAAATATTAATTTAATTAGGGACTACGGAATTAATTTTTTTTTTTCAAAATTCGGATAGTAGTAGAGAGATTTTTATAAAAAAAAAAGATAAATGAAAGAAAACTGGAATTAAAAAAAAAACTTCATATTGGGCGCCATATTATTATTAGAATGGAAAGTATAGGACCATACACCATATGAACGACATGTTCTTATATTTTCCGTTTAGTTCGATAAAACACGTGACAAGTTAAGCTAACACTTAACACAGCGCCATTTTGTAATTTTTTAAGCCCCTAGGGGTGTTTGACTCTTTAAAGGCGTCTTTCTTGTGAGCCGGGTTGATTTTTTTATTCAGAACCAATTTTATTTCCAATTTAGCATTTTTCAAGAATATGATTCCTGACCCATCTTGTCATTATAGTTATTCGTTCCTTCACTGCAAACACCTTTGGTGTGTTGAGACCGGATATAGCGGAAAAAATGTAACAACAACAACAGCAAAAAAAATCAAGAGACCACTCTGTGATCCCTGATAATGACTATTAACACGAAAGGACGTCAGGACTAGAAGCGTTTAGAGAATAATTTATTTCCCTCCTTTCCCCGGCAAGGTTGATAGTGGACTTGTCGATATGTGTGTGTGTGTGTGCAATTGTGTATACCTAACCGGTTAGGTTATTCAACAATTTACACCTACTTCATTTAAGGACTAAAAACACGACAAACTACAATAACACTAACAGCGGCAGCAACAACAAAAATGTCCTTGCCATAGCCAATGCCACCACGGTTTTTTCGGATGAAACATTCTTGCTGGTATTTCAATGTGAAGAACTTTTATTGATTTTCATGTGGCACACACAAAACTTGAGAAGCGAATAGCCAAAAAAACACCAAAAAAAAAGAAAAAACAACAACAAGAAAAAAAAACTAAACATTGGCAAATATTTATCCAGGGTCATGTTTATTCAACACACTCATTTCCGTCATGCATGAAGTTTTGGGAAAATACCATCAGTGTCATTCCGAAGAGACAGGGTTGATTTGTCTCTGTTTTTTTGGTGTTATCTACAAAATAAAAATTTTGTTTAAATATTTATTGTTGTAATTTTAAATTTTTATAAAAATTGTTATAAAAATGTTTATAAAATATTTTAATAATTTATTATAAATCTTGTTTTCTTTTTATTTCAGAAATACGACCGCCTTCGAAAAAAGGATCTCCAGTTATAGTAGATTTTAGTATATTTGTTGTAGATATAAACTCAATTAATGTAGAGGATATGGACTTTCGGTAGGTTGATAATTAATAAATATTTATTTTAAATCATATAAAATATATAAAATATTATTAAATACAATATTAAAAAAAACATTCCATGGATATATAAAAACTAAACAGAGAAGTATTCTAATTGTAACAGATATTCTTTCTGAAGCACACATGATATGATGGTCCAAATATTAATATCCCAGACGAGAATCGACTAGTTTCTTCAAATTAATTATAAATAAAATTACAAAAAAAATATATTTTTATATTTATATAAAATAGCTTCATGTGAACTCATAACGGAATGGGTATGTTCAGTGAATATAATTAAAAAGTACTGCTGAAATATGTTAATGATATTTTATCATTTTTATCTTGAGGCCAGCTAAGCGAGCAGAATTATACATGAATTAAACAAACAAAATAAAATTCTCAATTTGCTCGAAATCACTGCAATTGTACTAAAAAATTGCATAACTTATCCCTAAAAGTACCAACGTGGCAAAGCTCTAGGTCTGTCATTTGTTTAATTTAAAATTCATAAATGAATGGGTATGTTCAGGGATTGTAATTAACAAATATTGTTGAAATGGATTAATTATTGATTAAAATTGCAAGAATTTATGTGCTTTTATACAAAAAATGCATCACCTTCCCTAAAAGTACCTAAATGGCAACGCTCTTGGTTTGGCATTTGTTTATTTTGAAATTCATAACTGGATAGGTATGTTCAGTTAATGTAATTACCATGTATTGTTGAACTAGGTTAATTATTGATTTTATAAGTATCTATCGTTAAGGCTCGCATAGATTTAACTGCTAAATCGAGCAGAATTTGCCTCGAATTAAAAGAAAATTTACTAAATATCACCATTGCTCGAATTTTTGTCCTTTTGTACCAAAAAAAGCATCAATATCCCTAAAAGTACCAAAATGGCATCGCTTTTGGCGTGGCATTTGCTTACATTGAAATTCATAGCAGGATGTGTATGTTCAGTTCATGTACTTAACATTAAATTGAATTGCTAAATCGAACAATATTTTGCATTGATTTACAAAACTAAATTAAATTATTTTAAAATCTCGATTTCCTGTGCTAAATCGGGACAATTTTAAATACAACACTGTTTTTGCAACAAATAATGCATCACTTCTCCTAAAAGTACCAAAATGGCAACGCTTTTGGTGTGTCATTTGTTTACTTTAAAATTCATAACTGAATGGGTATGTTCAGTGAATGTAATTAGTAAGTATTGTTGTACTAGATTAGCTATTGATTTTTTCATTATCTATCTTAGACTGGTATAGATTTAATTGCTAATTCAAGCTGAATTTACCTCGATTTAGCAAACAAAATTAAATTCACAAGTTATCCCGATTTGCTTGAAATCCTGTGCTAAATAAAGATAATTTCATATACAACACAGTTTTTGTATTAAAAATTCATCACTTCTCCTAAAAGTACCAAAATTGCAACGCTTTTGGTGTGCATTTGTTTACTTTTAAATTAATAACTGGACATGGGTATGTTCAGTGAATTTAATTAGCAAGTATTGCTGAACTACATTAATTATTGACTATATTATTTCTATCTTAATACTCGTATAGATTTAATTTCTAAATCAAGCTGAATTTACCTCGATTTTCCAAACAAAATTAAATTCACAAGTTATCCCGATTTGCTTGAAACCTGTGCTATATCGAGACAATTTTAAATACAACACTGTTTTTGCAACAAATAATGCATCACTTCTCCTAAAAGTACCAAAATGACAACGCTATTGATGTGTCATTTGTTTGCTTTAAAATTCATAACTGGATGGGTATGTTCAGTGAATGTAATTACCAAGTATTGTTGAACTAGATTGGTTATTAGTGTTATCATTTTTTTAAGGCTCGTTTAAATTTAGTTGTTAAATCGAATAGAATTTATCTCGATTTACTGAGAACCTATGCTAAATCGAGATAATTTCAAATACAAAACGGTTTTGATCCCAGTGCATATATTCTCTTAAATGCACCAAAATGACACCTTTTTATATGTGCCATTTGTTTTTCAAATTCTCTTTGAATTGGTCCATGTGAACCCAATGATACAAAAAAAATAGGACGGGTATGTTCAGTGAATGTAATTCACAAGAACAGGCACCATAGCACAATAAATAAGTAATCATTCCAGCAAAGCTGCATATGAACCCCACAAAATACCTAAATGGTATGTTCAGTGCATTTTTTTCAGTCTCAAATGTAAAGTATATAGCTTGGAGCATAGCAAAATGAATAGGTAGTCCATTTAGATCAGCTGATGTCTTGATTAACTGTCAAAGTGTATAATTTCTACTTGAATTCGATGTGCAGTGTTGCCAACCATTTGAAATATTATAAGGAAAAATTTGACAGATAGTCGAGACAAAAACAAAGTTTATTGTTTTGATACATCAGCTTATTGTTGCATCATGGCTTGGCGTATAACCTAGTATACGATTTGAAATTGACATTTGAGATCGAGTGAATTTTGTAAATCTAAAAGAGCGTTTATACTATGCCTTTTAAAACGACACAATTTCTAAATCGAGATACCAAATTCTACCTCTTTATTCTAATACTACAATTGACAGACATCAGATTAACTGCCAAAAAACATAGCTGCCACTCGATTTCGGCGTTAATTTAAAAAAAATTGTATAACAAAAATGACTGATTCTGAATATTAAAGGTAGTTTACATTTAACCGGATTTGGTTAACCCTATGGGTTTAAAACTCCTTGTGTGAGGATTAATTTGACATATATGCAAAGGAAATGACAATTGAAACCCACTGGGTTAACGAAATCCGGTTAAATGTAAACGTACTGTAAATTTTCAATTCCTTTGAATTATGCCAAATAAATCCTCATAAAGTAGGTTAACCCGGTAAAAAGTTCTAATGTAAATGCCGTATTAAACAATTTTTAAACAGTTGTTGTTTTTATGCATTTTCACCTTATGGAGATTAATACCTGTTTGATTTATAAAACATACTGAGAGTAGATCTCAAATGTGAATTTCATTGCGTATACGACACGTTAATTCAGTGAATTATATTTGACGTATACGGTATGTCAATTCCTAAAATCGTACATCTAAACGTACCTTCAGGCTTCTTGATTTAGAAATCGAGTCGATTAGGAGACATAGTCTGAACGTGCCTTTAATTCTTGATTTATTTCTAATTTATTGTTCTCGTATCAGATTATATCCAAGCTATTATAATATAGTAAAGTTTCGCTTTAATCAAAACCAAAACATATCTTTTATTATAAATGTCTTCTAATAATATTATATCTTTAGAAGAGTCCGTTTAATGGCCGATTTTACAAAACTATTGCAGACAATGTTCTGCTGGATCCTAAATATCAATTTTATTCAAAATGAAATAATATAGTTAGTAATAAATTTATATCAAACTGATTTATTTGTAATTGTCTCATTTGAACTTGATGGGTATGTTCAGTGAATAAGGTAATTTAAAGAAATTAATTTTAATTTTTCACTGAACGCGTTTTATGATAAATCAGGATTAAACGCAGTTAAAGATTTCAAAAATATGCATAGAATTTACGCTCCTTTGAATGTTTTAAATAAATGGGTATGTTCAGTGAGTGTTACCTTCAACAATGAAGATAACACATGATTTATATTGCTCATAAATTTTATTAAAATTGCAAAGTTGTAATGTAAGATTTACACACACTGGATTGACGAAATTCAGAAATACACCCTAACTGTTTCGACGTGCCTTGTGTAAGTCATAGCGTAAATTATCATATGTAAAGTAAAAATAAAACCATTCATTGAATTGCCACCCTTCTCATAGCTTTAGTAAATGGGTATGTTCAGTGAGCGTGCTCCTCAACAATCTACTAATTATAAATCGTAATTTATTTCGAAAAAATGTATTACAATTTATATAATACAAAATTTTGTTATATAATACAAAATTCAGAAATACTGTTTGCCATGCCTTGGGATAATTCATATACCAATAAGCTGATTGTTGTTGTCAGTTACAATTGAATACATTCAATGTATTTTATTATTTTCTATTTCGAGGTGAGCTACATGATCGGAGTTGCAATGAAAAGGAAAGCCAGAAAGATATTGCATCCCCACCATTAGGTGACGCGTTTCGCGTTGGTTAAGCGGCTCATCAGGCATGTTGGGCAATGTGGCTTACAAATGTCTTTTACTTGATAAGTTGTATTTATGTCGAATATTGTTGCGAAATTGCATCTACGAATTAAATTCAACCGTGTCAAGGTGCAGACATTTGGCATCACGCCAGAACATTCCTTTTCAGAGCAGATTTTTCTTGTAGTGACGGACTTTTTTTTCCATACAAACTACAATATTTTTCTTCAATGTTTATTTAAAACTGATGTACAAATGTACAATTTGTCAACATCAAAAAAACTATAACCACAATATCTCTTTTCAAATTTGTATATTTATGTAAAAAGTATTTACACTATTCCTGACACTTCCAAAACACTAGTAACTTATGGTACTTTCTCCTTAGGGATGTATTTCTTCGAACAAAACCAGTGTTGCATTTCCTAAGAACTGTGATTCCGATGATGATATGTTTATGGCGCGTATAGACTATGACTTCTTTATCGATATGTGTCGATGTTGAAGCTATAAAAATGATATAAAGATGATAGTCAGCTGTTATTTTTTTTTACGTATACATACACATTTACTAGCGTTACTATTTCGGAGCTTTACGAAAAGTTGATGAAAACAAAGTTGTATTTAAATTATCCAGATTTACCACAAGATTTCAAGAGGATTTAATTTTGTGTGGTAAATGCATTATCGCGATAAAAGCTATAGTGTAAAAGCGGCTTACTGTTGACAGTCAGCTGATTTTTCTTTACGTACTAGTTTCATAATTTTTCAAGGTTCACTGAAACTAAAGCTTGTAATTTATTTAATGATTTAGGAAATAACTAACTGCGATTAAATGTTAACGGCATATACATTGCGATTAATTTGACATATATGCAAAGGAATTGACAATTGAAACCCACTGGGTTAACGAAATCCGGTTAAATGTAAACGTACTATTACCCCTCCATATTACTTCACTATTTTTGTTATCTTCGTTATTTATGTTCAGTTGGTTTTGTTAATTGCGATACTACTTTTAATGACCTAATAAATTAAACTATCCCACAGAAGACATTTCTTATTCCAAAAAAATACCATAAAGGATGAAATGTAGTTTTATTTCAGGTTAATTAATAAAAAATAAATACCTCCATGGAATGTTTTAGGCGCAGCTTTATGTATGTACATATTGATTTATGTACATACATACAGGTTAATGTAGCCATTAATAATTAAGAACACATTTACACCCATCCCAAACAAAACATTTAAATAATGTTTATCATGAAAACTAATTTTGAAAAGGTACTTTAGGTTAAAGTACGTTTAGATGTATGAAATCTTCAGGATTTCAAATGTCAATAGTCTAATAAAGTCCACTGGATTTGTGAATAGGTTTTATTTAAAGTATAGTCTATGATATTGACATTGGAAATCGAGTAGACTTCATAGTCTACTTTTCAAATAGTTCATACTATAGATCTAACCTAAAATCTAAAGAAAAATGCTTTCTTGACACACTGTACGAGTTATTTAATTTCTGTGTTTATCTATAAATATTTTTATTTGCTTGTATTTTTTATTATTATTTAGAGTAGATATGTTTATACATCAACGATGGCTCGAATCAAGACTTGAAATATCCGATGATATATTTGAGGAAGGAGATGATTATGTCACTCTGTTGCCGGAATTTTTTGATAATCTATGGCAACCGGATCCATATTTTCTCAATTCAAAAATTGCAGGTGAGTTGTTATTTTTTTAATATATATATATATTATAGCATAAATACATATGTGTGTTATATTTTGGATATGTTGTAGTTTACACAAATTGGTTATTTTAATGTATAAGTATTTTAATATTTGGGCTTCTTCTTAAACTATAAAGCTTTTTTAAGATTGATATTTGTTATATGTGAATATATGAACAAATACAAATTAAAAACCATCAAAATGATTTGGTTCGAACCTTGTAAAAACTATAAATGTTTCAAATTGTATGCAAGTGATCATGGTTATAAAGTCATTAAAATGAATATTGTGATCAAGACCTCATAATAACGTCATTTAGGAAAATCGGCTGTATATCAGCTGATTCTTAAGTCTGCTGTCAAAATCCATAATTGTGAATTAGCTTCCATTATGAAAATGTAAATAAAATCCAAATTGTGTCATAAAGCTTGAGAAAACAGCTGTCTCTTGCTTTCTGAGTGACCCTATTAATAGCCTTGTTTATGCGTTGTTCCTGGCACAATAAATAGGTACTCCATTTAACACAGCTGACTACCGATTAACTGTCAAAGTTTATAGTTTCTACCATGGCACAATGAATGAATGAAAAGGTAGTCCATTTAGCACAGCTGATGTCTTGATTAACTGTCAAAGTGGGTAATTTCTACTTGAATTCGATGTGCAGTGTTGCCAACCATTTGAAATATTATATTGAAAATTTTGACAGATAATCGAGACAAAAACAAAGGTTTTTGTTTTGATACATCAACTTATTATTGCATCAGCTTTCTACCATGGCACAATGAATTGGTAGTCCATTTAGAGCAGCTGATGTCTTTTAACTGTCAAAGTGGTTAATTTCTATTTGAATTCGATGTGCAGTGTTGCCAACCATTTGAAATATTATATTGAAAGTTTTGACAGATATTCGAGACAAAAACAAAGGTTTTTGTTTTGATACATCAACTTATTATTGCATCATGGTTTCTACCATGACACAATGAATATGTAGTCCATTTAGCACAGCTGATGTCTTGATTAACTGTCAAAATGGGTAATTTCTACTTGAATTCGATGTGCAGTGTTGCCAACCATTTGAAATATTATAAGGAAAATTTTGACAGATAATCGAGAAAAAAACAAAGATTTTTGTTTTGATAGATCACCTTATTATTGCATCATGGTTTTTACTTGAATACGACGTGCAATGTTTCCAACCATGAGACATATTACAAGATAAAATTTGACAGATGGTCGATAAGTGCATACGCCAAATAAAATCTATGTTAAAGTATGCGCTTTGGAGTTGGCATTTGAGATGGAGTGGATAATTTTCGACAGCATATTTTCCTTTTGCTGGATTTAATATATTCAGTAAATTAATATTGTCAATGTTATTCTCTATATTATTAAATAAATTATCAGAAAGCTGGTAAATCATTTAAAAATCTCTAATGTAAATGACGTTTAATCAAAAATAATGTCCTTATAAACATGATCCCTAATATAAATATAATTTCTGTAGTATATGGATGTATGTATGTTTGCTTGTCTGTTACTTTGTAAACAATGTATCTACAAATTGCTAACAAAATATTCTTGTTTTTTCTTAATATTTATTTCCATTTTCTTTTTATTGTCTTTATTTAACAAAAACTAAACTTTTAACTAAAAAACTAACCTCAAAAACGCATAATATTAAATTAACAACTACCACCAAAAACAATTACAACAACGTCTTCCCAACAATCTTCTAAACGTCAAATACCACTAGGATTGGGAAGCCCCTATATTGAGCAAACTTCTCTGATACGCCATAAAACTGAGAAAGAGAAGAAAAATTTCCATCTAAAGAAGACTTTAAGTATACAAACAAAAATCAAATAAATAATTTACAAGCAAAAAAAAAATAAAAATAATAAAACAGCAGCAATTAATAGTATTTCATATATATTTGTTTGTATTTGTCCCTCAATAGCCTCAATGAATCAAAAAGACAAACCAATTTTTATTTTTTTTTATCATTTAATTTGTTTTGTTTGTGTTTTGGGAGATTCTACACCGTTTTGCGTGCTTTTTATGAAATATACACGGCACCTGGGTCTTTTGGAATATAATTTGTATAGAAAGGGGAAAAAAAGAGAAAATATTTTTATTATATCATTTAGAATGTGTCGCTTAAATGATCATAGCGTAATTAATCTAAAAATCGCTAAGAAATGGTATTAAAATAACATAGTTTGAAAACGAGTCATGTGTACCCTACAAAATCTCTAAATGGTATGTTCAGTGAATTGTCTATTTTCATTATTTGATGTTATGGATGAATATATAAAGATTAATACAGCTACATTTTATTATTACAACAAAATGTATGTTCATTCATGCTGCATAATTAAATATTGTGTTTATTGCACTAGAGCGTTTCAAATTCAATTACAACCAATGTGTATGTTCAGTGTGAGAACAGGTTGCATAATAGAGAAATGCTGTGGTTACACTGCCAAAAGAACAAATGAAAGGCTAAATACAATGGATGAGTATGTTCAGTGATAAAAAACTGTATTCTCTACGCGCCTTAATATAGATTTATTGTACTTGAGCCTTTCAAATTACATTACAACAAATGTGTATGTTCAGTGTGGTAACATGCTCCATAATACAGAAATATTGTGTTTACACTGTACTTGAGCGTTTCTAATTCAATTACAACAAATGTGTATGTTCAGTGTGAGAACATGTTCAATAGTAGAGAATGTTGTGTTTACACTATCAAAAGAACAAATTAAAGGCTATGGATGTGTATGTTCAGTGATAAAAACTGTATTCTCTATGCGCCTTAAAATAGAGCGTTTCAAATAAAATTACGATCAATGTGTATGTTCAGTGTGTGAACATGCAACATAATAGAGAAATGTTGTGTTTACACTGTTCTTGAGCGTTACAAATTCTATTACAACCAATGTGTACGTTCAGTGTGGGAACATGTTCTATAATAGTGAAATGATGTGTCAAATGAAAAAATGAAAGGCTAAATACAATGAATACAATGGTAGAAAATATCAGATTTATTAATAATTCATATATAAAGAACTTCTCAAAAGTCATATACCTTAGGTATGTTCAGTGAGTATGTTAATTTAAAAATGTATATAAAGAATCATTGCTTAATAAACCACGAGATTAGAAAATGTCCCGTCCAACTAATCTGTCCCATATTTAAACAGACTATTTTGATCCGAAATTAGCCGATGATTTCTTATATTTTGTTTCTATTATATTTTTCTACAAATGATTTAAAACACATAAACAAATTACACCTTAAATTTTTGTGGTTTATACTCACAGAATTGGCGAATGTGAACCTCACACAAAACACAGACAGATGGGTAGGTTCAGTGAGTCAGCGTATAAAGCGGTGTACACACTATCATGTTAGACTGTCAACTTTTTATCGATTACTGACTGTCCAACAATCATAAATATTTTTGTGGTTGCCTGATAAATGACAAACATGTGAGGCCACACTATCAAACAAGTAAAATTTGGGCAAGAGTGCCATTCAAAAATGCTAGTGTGTACACCCCATAACATAAATTTCAATTTATATATTCAAAATTATCATGAATTTTGTTATTTTTAGACAATATATAAGACTTATATTCGAATTTTAAATTTATGGGTTTAGGAGTCAACGGAATAGATTATTTTAATTCGAACGTAAGGGTAAAATATTCCAAATGCTTCCATAAGACCTTTTTTTAAGTTCAGTTATTTTTTGTTTTACTTAAAGTTATTTTTTTAATTTATTTTGTTTTTTTTTCGTTGCTCCCAATTGGGTATCACCTTAAAAATATATCTCCCAAAGATTTCTTTTTATTTACAGATTTAGTTTAATGATTTCCACTATACACTGGCACCTGCAGCAATTTCCAATTTGAACACAATACTTTTCCCCCTCTCCAAATGTCCTCAAAACCAAATTAATTATTTAAAAAAATGTGTGTGTGCTTTAAATTTTTATTAATAATTACAGTCGAAAGAGGTTATAAAGAAATGATTAGGAATATATATTTTTTGGGCTTTCATATGATCCTGATATTTATAATACAACAGTATAGTTATGCGGAACATTATTAATCTGTTATTTGACATTTATCATAAAACACGTTCAGTGTAAATGTGCCCTGAATACATTTTATAACCTGATTTTACTGTAATTATTTATGTTTTGTTTTTATATAGAACTACTTTTTTGGATTTCGAAATTATGAAGAAACGTCTAAATCGTCAAAAACGTGTCGTATACTTAAAGAAATCTTTAAACAGATTTTGAATCAAATGAATAAGTAAACTATTGTGGTGAAGTGTTGTGTTGTTGTAATATACATTAATTTTTTGGTTTATTTGTTTATATTATTTTATCATTGGCTTTATTATGCTTTTATTTGTATTTTTTTATTTCATTTCACCAATTATAAAAAAAATAAATTTCTAAACTATGTGTACAAAGAAATTCGCTAAAACACTTCATGATTAATTGTAAAATGTAAACAAAACTTTAAAATGCAACCCTGAATTTAATTCCTTTGTTTAGAAAAATATTTTTCTAAGCTATTCCTCTTCAGAGTACTAATTGTTAAACGTAAACAAACCTTTAAATGCAACCCTGAATTCATTTCCTTTGTACTGTTAGTTGCAGTCATTAAAAACTATAGAAACCTATTTGATATAAATGTATTCTAATATATATTGCAATTTTTTTGTTAATTGCACTTGATGTTAGCATGAAATGTTTTGTTTTATTAACTTTAGTTTAGTTTTCTTTATTAATTTTATGTTAAAAATTATTCCGGCTTTTTTCAAACACATTTACTGTATGAGTAAGTAAAATAAGTTATATTATTTAAGTAACTATATAAATAGATCGGTATTTATCGATCAGGTTTTATGCTACACAATGTCACGAAGCAGAAAATGCATATAATGCCAATAATTTTTTTATTAAAATACTAAAAAATATTCAATTTATATTGCACAAAGTAAATGGGTATGTTCAGTGAAGGAGCTTATAACTAGAGGTGCATTTCGTATATTACCACGAAAAGAGAAAATGCTTATTTAATTTAAAAATATCAAATAGTGGACTTTGTAATATATTCAAACTGTTGGGTGTGTTCAGTGACCAGCAAAATGTAAATGTTAATTCAATTTATGTTACTAAAGTGAAAATGGTATGTTCAGTGCACGAGTTTATAAGTAGTGTTGCATTTCGCATATAACAATGAAAATGGTAGAATTATTTAATTAAAAAAGGCAACGAGTGTCCTTTCTAATATGTAACGAAGCAGAAAATGCAATAATTTTTTATAAAAATACTAAAAAATATTCAATTTATATTGCACAAATTAAATGGGTATGTTCAGTGAAGGAGCAAATATGCACTTCACATATTAAAACGAAAGGTGTCTGTTCATTTAGTTTAAAAAACAACAAGGAGTCTACATTCTAATATATTCCAACTGATGTGTGTGTTCAGTGATCAGTAAAATAGAAAACATGGCCTATAAATAAGGTCACCAAGGGAGACCAGCTGATTATCGATGCCTCTCAAGTTTGCTGTCAAAATGCATTATTGTGAATTGACTTCCATTATGAAAACGTAAACAAAGTCGAAATTTTTGACATTAGACTTGAGAAAAAACAGCTGTTTTCCGATTTCGATTGCTATCTTGGTGACCTTATCTATAGGCCATGATAGAAAAGTTAATAAAAATGCAAACAATTTTGAATTTATATCACTAAAATGAAATGGGTATGTTCAGTGATCAAGCTTAGTGTTGTATTTCGCATATTACTACGAAAGAGGTAGGATTGTTTTAGTATAATAAGGCAACAGGTGGACTTTCATTCAAACTGTTGGGTATGTTCAGTGACCCCTAAATAAAGGTGGATGCATTTAAGCAGCTCTTAGTTCAATGAACTGCTTCTCCTAGGAATATATGCGCGTTTAGACTATGGCTTTTAAATTGACTCGATTTGTAAATCGATTTGCTAAATCCTAGCTGTTTAGACTAGTATTTAAATGTCATAAAGTTGTCAGCTGATCTTTGTTTACATATCGGTTTTATAATATTTGTTATTTATTTCTATTGCCACGGAATTCTTCTCCGTCAAGAGATAATTTTTGTTAGACAAATTTTGAATTTTAAAGTAAACAACCGACATACATAAAGTGTACCCATATCCAAACATTTACTAGAAGTACTGCGGTTTATATTACGAAAGCAGAGTTGCATTTAAAATTATCTCGACTTCGCATAGGAATAAGAGGAACTCGTGATAATGAGTAGATTTTTTTTTTGTATTGTGAATCGAATAAATTATTTTATAGTTTAAAGCGCTTTATTCGATTCTCCTTACATGCAAAAAGGGATCTTTTTGAGGTCATAATAATATTGATATCGTGTAGCATTTAATCAATTATTTATATGTATATTAAACATAAAAATCTATTTATATATTTGTCATTGTTGTTTCAGTATTTTTTGTATTTTCGCTTAAATTAAATGTTAACATTGTTGTTTGTTTTCTGTTTTCAATTCCCCGCCTCAAAAAATTGTCCACTATAAAAAACGTTTTTTGTTCTTGTTGTTATTTTCTTGTTTTTCTTCTTCTAGAAATTGCCACATTAACACACAAATTTACTTCGGTGACTTTGTACAAAAATAAGACGGTACGTTATGCAGCACGAATGCATGCCATCATTGCCTGTCAAATGGAATTTCAATTATATCCCATGGACATACAAGTCTGTCCCATTTACATAGAAAGTTGTAAGTATTGATTTGCATTTGCAAACAGCAGAAAAAACAACAACTAAAGAAAACAACAATTAATTGTCTCTACCTTTTCTCCTCCCTTTCAAAGTTTCTTCAAATAATAAAAAAGTAAAATTACGCTGGTCCGATTCAGGGGTTACCTTAAACCCGGAACTTAAGCTATTGCAATACAATTTAGGTCAACCGCTGGAATTGGAAGAGAGCGATGGTTATATGCCCGAAAAAGTTGGTAATTTTTCACGTCTCACCGTTTATTTTCGTTTCGAGCGACAAATTGGTCATCATTTGATACAGACGTTTGCACCTTCGTCCTTGGTTGTTATGCTGTCGTGGTTTAGTTTTTGGTTGGGTCTAGATGCCATACCCGGAAGGGTAACTCTATTGGTCACCTGTATGCTAACATTGGTGACAATGTTTACAGGTCTAAGAGCTGATATACCACCAGTGGCTTATGTTAAGGTAAGTTTGGGGGGTTTTGAATTCATTGTAAAGAGAGAGAAACATAAAAAAGATTTTAAGAAAGCTTCTTTGAAGTCTTAACTACTAAATTTCCATTTATGAGGGAATATCAAAGTTGTATTTGAGTTTTGTCGCCGCTCTCTTTTATTCTTTTACAAACAAGAAACTTAAAGAGCCGCACCGAAATCCCTTTATTTATTTCTTAACTTTATAAATATTAAAGGTGTTTTGGATTGTTTTCTTTACAGGCTTTAGATTTATGGATGGCCGGTTGTATGGTCTCTGTATTTGCAGCTTTGGCAGAATTTGTTGTAGTTAAAGTTTTGGATGTCCAATATCAATATCAAGTTAACAAGGTGCCGAAAACATTACCCATGGTAAGGTTCAATTACATAGCAAAAATTAGTGAAAACAAAATTAGAAGTTGAATAAACAAATAGTTAATATTGTCGAATATATCCCTATAGTTAACGAATTAGAAGTTAAAATAAAAAATAATTTAAATTTTGTTTGACGAATCCAATACATTTATCGCCATACTGTGGGGTTTATAGTGTGAATTCAATTCACAATAATGTATTTTGACGGTTATGTTAAGAAACAGCTGATCTTTACTAAGACGTTGCGAATTCGATCATAATCGATGTATATGTTCAGTGTAGTAACTTCTAAATGCGAGTACATGCTATAATTATGAACTGTCAGTTTTTTATCGACTACAGTCTGCCCAATAACCATCAATATTTTCGTGTTTACATGATAAATGACCGACAAGCATACTGTCATTCAAAAGTGATAATGATTGTGTGTACACGTCTTTAACATGATCTAACCAATGGGTACGTTCAGTGATTATTAATAATAAATATCTGTCAGTCTAAAATAGGAAATATGTGAAACTTTCACTGAATTACAAAAGACGTATGAATGAGTTAACAATGTGAATGGGTATGTTCAGTGATAATTACATACATATCAGTAATTATTAAATCAGAATTTGGGCCTAACTGTCATTCAAAAGTGATAGAGTGTACACAGCTTTATCACGATCTTACCAATGGATATGTTCAGTGATGATAATAATAAATATCTGTCAGTCTAAGATAGAAAATATGTGAAACATTCGCTGAATTTGTTATTCAAAGGTCTTATGAATGAGTAAACAATGTAAATGAGTATGTTCAGTGAATATTACATACATATCAGTGGTTATTTAATACACACCATCAAACAATTAGTATTTGGGAAAAACCATGATTCAAAAGTGATGGTGTGTACACATCTTTAACACGATATATGCAATGGGTATGTTCAGTGGTACTTAAGTAAATATATGCCAGTTTAAAAAATGAAGTTTTGAAAATTTTTTTGAATGAATTTTACAAAAAAAAACTTGTGAATTAACAAATAAGACGAATGGGTATGTTCAGTGGATACCTGAAAATTCTAAAAAGGATAGATATGTTGACTATCCTTTTTATTAAAAGATGTGGATTTGAAAGACTTCTAAAAGGGTTAAATAGACGGCGTGTGTTAAGTGAAAATCAGATAAATATTCTGAAATGTAAAAATTCCGCAATGAAAATATAGATTTCATTGTTATTAAATATTAAATAACAGGTTTTGCATTTGCAAGAGTATACATATATATCCGTAGCTCTAAAAAAAATAACTGTTATGGGGAGCTATTGTTTTTTTTTTTCTTCTTTTAATTACAAAAATTAGATTTGTATGACAACTGAATGAGTTAACTCAGTGGATGGGTATGTTCAGTGTCATTGAAATAAATATCTGGAAATTTCAAACATATTCTCATGAAATTGTCTCTGGAAATTTAAAAGACTTCTAAAAGTGTTAACTAAACGGATGCGTGTGTTCAGTGAAGATCAAATAAATATCCAGAAACATAAAAATTCCGCACCGAAAACACAGTTTTTATTAATATTTAATAACAGGCATTGCATTTGCAAGAGTATACAATGTGATTGTGTATGTTCAGTGATTATAGAATACATATCCGTAGCTCTAAAAATAATAACTGTTATGGGGTGCTATTGTTTTTTCCTTCTTTATTACATTTGCAAATGACTTCTGAATGAGTTAACTCAGTGGATGGGTATGTTCAGTGGCATTCAAATAAATATCTGGAAATTTCACACATATTCTCATGAAATTGTCTCCGGAAAAAGATTTTGTTTTTCATATTATATATACAAGATATCTCAATGGGGGGTATGTAGATGGGTATGTTCAGTGAATTTATAATAAATATATTTAAAACAAAAACATTGACCGTTTATAATCTTTCCCACACACACATTCTCAATTGTAATTTCAGTTATTTAACTGGAATTTTGAAGAGGACTTTGTGAATGGGTATGTTCAGTGAGGACGCTAATAACAAGGAGAAATATGTAAAACTCCGTCAATTCATTTATATTTTTAAGTAAGTTCGATGATAGAATATAAGGGATATATATACGGCTGACATAGAACTTTTCTAAGAGTACATTTACACCGAACATATTTTACCCAAATCGTCATTTAATTGACATAAATACGAGGAAAACTATAGTTTTAAATAAAAAAATCGGTGCAAATGTACCCTTATAGAACGTTTAGATTTACGAAATCCTCTCGGTCTCAAATGTCAATTCCATAGCGTATATGTCACTGGATTTGTGAGCTGGATTTACGTGACGTATACGCAATAGAATTGACGTTTGAGATCGAGTGGATTTAGTAGTCTAAACGCAGCCTTATTCTTTAGGCATAAGGGGTATGTTCAGTGTGTACGCTAGGTTAGGTTCATATAATATAGTTAATATAATTGATATAGTTAAAATAGGGACCAAATTTCGTGTTAAACGTCATCAATTCGTTATCATGCATTTACATCAAACGTGATTCACGTCTCTTATGTTAGGTACGATTTAATTCAGTCTATAAAAAGATCTGTCGGATTTTTGTCTAAGTTTTTTGTTACAATATTTTGTAAATTTTTTTAATAAATTTTTACGTTTGGGCGCCATATTTCCCCATTTGATAATAAGGCGTTTCTGTGATTCAATCCTAAGTAATTTTTTTAATAAATGTTTGCGTTGGGCGCCATATTTTTCAATTTGGTGAGGAGTATTGAATTTTGCTGGACTTCTTCCAGGGTTATTATTCCATTTTATTCGATTTAGTGGATTTTGTTGTACTTCTTATAATTCTATTTTTATTACTCTCTTAAATCCTTCAATATCCTATTACCAATTGTAAATAAAGAAAAAAGTCATTTCAAAAATTCCAATTATTCAATTAATGCATATTTGAAATAGACTGCATTCATAAAAAAGAAAGAAACATGTGCTATGTAAATGAATTGATTATTTGTTGTTTGTTTGATGGTCTGTTGACCATTTTTCTTTATTTTTAGCGTCTAAGCAACATGGAAAAAGGTCAATGTGCAACCGTTGCTAGTTGGGAAGGTGGGGCTGTACGGTCACGCAAGGCTACACAAACGCCAACAACACCGGGCCAGGTAAAGACAATAAAAATAAACGACCTTGACTTAAAAAAGAAAAAAAACAAACTCCACTATCTTCAACTCAAAACAGACACATACCAAACACACACACACACATACTTGAAGACACACCCACAGAAGTTTAAACACAAACAGAGTTCAAAATGTCTACTTTAATTTTCATACTCTCTTTTTTCTCTTTCCTATTTCCAGACTTCATTGCAGGGCAATGGTGGCCCACCAAAACCGGCCAGACGTCAAAGTTTGTTGTCCGTAGCCTGGACCGATGATACAACGGGCGTTGAAAAAATCATGTGGCGTGAAATTGATAAAGTTTCACGGGCCGTCTTTCCAATACTCTTTTTTGTTTTTGTACTTTTGTACTGGCCGATATTGTTAATGAAATCGTCTTAGGATATGGGGAGTTCCAGGGAACAACTCTCTGGACTCCGTTAAAGTGAAGAATACAATTGTGGATTAAAGCAAAAAACAAACGAATAACGAATACTTAGAAGAAAAAATACCAAGAACAACAACAACAATAACGTAATTAAGTAAATGCCTAGTTTAATAAATAAAAGAAATAGTAGTTATTTTTTATATACGTATATAGAGCAAATTTTGATTTTGAATTTCTGTTTGATTTTTTATAAATGTATGAATTTGTTAAATGAGAAAAATACACGTTTTTGTATTGTTTAATTTTTTAATATGAAATAGGGACACATTTTCAAAAATCTTTGTATTTGAGGATTTTTTAATGCAGAAGTGTGAAGTGTATTATTTTTTGATGACCTTTTAATGCAATGTTAAAATGGCGCCCAACGGTTTTCGTAGCATATGTGAATTCTAAAAGTTAGATCTCAAACCTACGCTAACACTGTGACATTGGGCGCCATTTATGAGTGAATTGTTTTTACAAATAAAATATGGCAATTTTTGGAATACCTTATATATGGCGCACAACAGTTCTCATAGTATGGACTCATATTTGAATTCTAAAAGTTAGATCTCAAACCTACGCTAACACTGTGACATTGGGCGCCATTTATGAATGAATTGTTTTTACAAATGAAATATGGCAATTTTTGGAATACCTTATATGTGGCGCCCAACAGTTTTCATAGTATGGATTCATATTTGAATTCTAGAAGAAGTTACATCTCAACGCTAAGACCCTGACGAACACCTCATTGTGTAAGAATTCCAAATATTGTTGGGCGCCATTTTACTTTTTCAATGAATCGAATGTGTTAAATGAAAATGAACGCTTTTGTATCATTATTTTTATATCTCAACTCTAACATCGTACCTGTCTCCCTAATGTGAAAATATTTCCAAAAATTATTGGGCGCCATTTATTCCATTACCAATGTATGGATTGTTTTTATAAATAATTTAGGGACATTTCTTGGTTACCTTTTGTATGGCGCCCAACAGTTTTCATAGTATGGATTCATATGTGAATTCTAGAAGAAGTTACATCTCAACGCTAAGACCCTGACTAGCACCACATTGTGAAAAAAATCCAAAAATTGTTGGGCGCCATTTTACTTTTCCATTTAATTAAATTTGTAAAATAATATTAAAGGTTTTGGTATTGTTATTTTTACATCTCAACACATAGCTCCCTATTTTGACAATATTTAAAAAAAAATAATTGGGCGCCATTTATTGCATAACCAATATTTGTATTGTTTTTATAAAAAAAATAGGGCAATTTTTTATGGCGCCCAACAGTTTTCAAAGTAGGGATTTATATGTGAATTCTAAAAGAAGGTATACCAACGCTAAAACCCTGTCTATCTTCTTCATGTGAAAAAATCGAAAAAATGTTGGGCGCCATTTTATTTTTTAAAAGAATTGAATTTGTTAAATGAAAATAAACGTTTTGTAATTTTTTTTTTTGATATCCTTATTATAAAATTGCGATTATTTTTTTTAATGACGGTGATAAAAGCGGCCTTTTCGCTGGCGCCCAACGTTTTTAAAACTATAAATTTGTTTATTGGATTAAAGAAAATTCTAGAGAAAGTTAGATTTGAACCCAGTGTCCAGTTCCCGTATGTGAGAATATCCTCAAAGAGTATTGGGTGTCATTTTTTACTTCTAAACCATAGTCTTTGCATTCTCCTTACAAATGTCTCCAATCTTATTTTTTGTTATGAAATGACGCCCAAAGATTTTAGATTAGACTTCATTAATTTTCAGCAAGACTAACATCGGTGACAAAAGCGGGGATTTTTTTTTGTAAAAAAACATGATGGCGCCCAACGTTTTTCATTATATAAATTCAAATTGGATTAAGGGAAATTCTAGAGAAAGTTATATTCGAACCCAGTGCCCAGTTCCCGTATGTGAGAATAATCTCAAAGACTATTGGGCGCCATTTTTTGATTTCTAAGCCGTAGTCATGGCATTCTCCTTACAAATTTCTCTAATCTTATAGATTAGACTTTGTTTGTTTACAGCAAGGATAAAACCAGCGAAAATGGGGATTTTTTTTCGCAAAATACACACGATGGCGCCCAACGTTTTTCATTTATAAATTCATATTGGAATAAGGGTAATTCTAAATAATGTTATATTCAATCGTCCAGGGTCCAGTTCCCTTATGTGAGAATAATCTCAAATGCTATTGGGCGCCATTTTTTACTTCTAAACCGTAATCATGGCTTGAAATGGCACCCAAAGATTTTAGATTAGGCTATATTTCAGCTGTACTAAAACTCGAAACGAAATCCGACTTGATAAAATGGCGCCCAACGCTTTTCATAGTATAAATGCATATTGGCTTAAAGGAAATTCTAGAGAATGTTATATTCTAATGGTAAAACTCAGTGTCTTGTTCTCTTATGGGAATAATATCAAAGGTTTTTGGGTGCCATTTTCTGATTTCTAAACCGTAGTCATGGTATACTCCTTACAAATTTCTCTAATTTTATTTCCTGTGACTAAATGGCACCCAACGATTTTAAATTAGGCTATTGATTTTGTGCAAGACTAAAACCGGAGATGAAAGTGGATTTTTTTCGTAAAATATTTTACAAATTTGTTGGGCGCCACTTTAAAAATTTTATTTTTATTTATTTATTTTTTGTAAGCCTGAGACATGGAATTCTCCTTCAAACTTCACTAACCTTATTGGTTGTGATGAAATGGCGCCCAACGATTTTAGATTGACATAAGATGAATGTGAACTCTAGAAGAAGTTTTATATAAACCTTTAACCTATAACTAGTTCCCTAATGCGAAAAAAAAACGTTCAAGTTGGTTAGGCGCCACTTTAAATTTCATTTCCGATTTTTTTTCCTTTTGAAATTCCTTAACCCCTCACTAACTGATATCTTCAATCCGCGCTTTATGACATATATATCATGGTCTCTTACTTATATAGGCAACGTGATTAAATGGCGCCCAATGATTTTAAATTGATATGAACCGTAAAAACGTACGTAGCGAAAAAAAAAAACTTTCAAGTTTCCTTTTCAAATTCCTTCTCCCCTGATACCTCCAATCAGCAATTTATGCAATACCTTGCATGGTCACTTATTTATGAAGACGACATGTTTAAATGGCGCCCAACTGTTTTAAACTTAATCTGAAATCTGGAAGAAGTTATAAAAACGTTAAATCCATTACTAGCTTCCAAATGCGAAAAAATCAAGTTTGTTGGGCACCATTTTTAATTTTGTTTTTCGAAAATTTGAAAATTTTTGATACCTTCGAACTGCCCTTGATGGACATACATATAACGGTCACTTATTTGTGAAGACGATGGATTTAAATGGCGCCCAACGGTTTTAGACTTGCATGATATTAATGTGAACTCTAGAAGATGTTGAGCGCCACTTTTTTTTTTGCCTAAAAATTTCCTTTTTTTAAATAATATTGCCTCTGACTAACTCGTACCTTAAATCCGCGCATTATGGAATAAATATCATGGTCTCCTTTTTTGAAGGCGTCTATTATTTTTAACTCACTTCTACCCGCAGTTTTGTTATTTGAAGTCTTCAAAAAAGAATTTTACAAGAACTCATTAAATGGCGCCCAACGTTTTTCATAGTACAACATTCATATGGGAATTACCAGTTGTCAAATGTGAAAATAATCTCCAAGAGTGTTGGGCGCCACTCAAAAATCCTCATTTTCGAGGTATACATGCAATGTACATGTATGGATAACTAGGAAACTATTTTTGGTACGCCAAATTTGTCGATTTAAAATTATTTTTAAAACGGGAAGGGGGTTTTAAGTAAAAAGTGGCACAAATGATAAACGTTTTATATTATTGGTCGGGCAGAAACGTATCTAGAATAAACTTTCTGGAAAAAAAAATCCTGACAACCCAACATTCTTTTTGGAAAATGAGTTTCTTTCCTCGTTCCTTCCATGTCCTTTTTAATAAATTTCCCAATACAAATGTTGGATGAAATAATTGTTTTTCCTTAAAGCTTTTTTTTATAAACTAGATAAATTAAAACAAATTGGTGCTTCTAAAACAAAACAACATAAATAAAAAAAAAAACAAAAAATAAATATATTTTTGTAATAACAATGAAACGCACATAACCTCTTTTTCACTAGCATATATAATACTCGAGCACGCATTTAACAAATTGAAAACAACAAAAAACTATACTCTGCTAAATCTATAAATAAAACATCAAATCATATGGCATATGACATATGACAAGAAATTAATATGTCACTCACTTGTTGAAAGAAACATAAATATTTTATAAAATAATTTTTAACCATATGATATAAATAAATAATTATAAAAAAATAAATAATAATGTAGCATTAAGTATGTAAATTACAAAAAAAAAAAAATAGAACAAAAACTGTACAATCTAAATGAAAAGTAAACAAATCTTGAAATCATTAAATAAAACCCATTTTTTTGTCTACAAAAATTGGTCTAATGTAAACACATTTTAGGTTACATAAAAACTATGTTTACATACAGTTTCCACAAATGCTTTATTTTTTCGAATAAAAAAATACAAGCTGTCAACTCTAAAATGTCATATTTTAAAGGTGGCTATAAACGTAGAATTTAGATATATTCACATTAAATTTGTTTTAATAAAATACGTTGTTTAATTGACATATGATATGACAATTACAATCACATGTTTGTTTAAGAATTGCTTTAGTCCATGTTTACATTATATGTGTTTTATTAACAACATGTGACTTTAATTGTCATATCATATGTTAATAAACAACATATTTTATTAAAACACGTTTAATGTGAATATATCTAAATTCTACGTTCATAGCCACCTCTAAACGTGTTGTGAATATAAAAAAACACTATCAAAGTTTTGCCTAAAATTCCTTGTGCTACATTTACATTAAAGGTATTTTATGGAAAACATGATTATTTTTGACATATTTAAACAAATAATTAAAATGACAAACAATTGATGATTAATGATAAAATACGTTAAATGTAAATGTAACATTGATCAATTTATAAAGGTGTCAGTACACATTGCAAATTATCATAATAAACATTTAATTTATTCTGTGACCTAATACCTTAAAGTTTTGATAAAACAAAAACTGTAATATGTAAACACAATGCTAATCAGGACACACACAATTACAAGGCGTTTAGACAACTAAATCCACTCGATTTCAAAAGGGCAATTCCATAGCATATATGACAAATATAATCCACTGGATTTGTGAACAGAATGCAATGTAGAATTAGTTATGACATAATTATAAAGCCATATGAATCAGCTGGTGGATCCAAAAGTATGAAAAGCTATGTATTCTATTAGTGACATAGCAGTAGAATATATTGATTTCCATAGATTTGGTTGGATCAGCTGATTGATATGGATTTAAGGTTATGTCAAAACTAATTCTACTATAACGTGACATATACTCTATGGAATTGACGTTTGAAATCGAGTGCATTTAGTAGTATAAACGCGCTCTTAGCCTACTACACATAACAAAAACAATTAGTTAGTTCTATATATGAAATAATCTATTTGCAAAAACAATGTTTGTTATTGTTTTATATACAACTATTTTTTTTATAATTTTAAATATGTTTTTTAATACGAATCAATTTTTTTTAGTGAAATAATAACAAAAAACAGCTGCTTTTGTTGCTTGTTTTAAAACAAACTAAATACAATAATATATATAAAAAAAAAAAATTAGTGTAAATAAAAACAATTTACAAGAGAATGAAAAACTTATATACAAAAACAAAACAAATAAAAATAAAAAATGTGGATTTTAAAAATCAAAATGAAATTTGTGTTTCTTTTTTTATGAAATGGGAACTGTCAGACACATTGCAAACTAAAACATGACCGTTTAAACATAGCATTAGTATTTGGCCGGCCGAATTTGTCATGATGCAATAGTAAGTCTGCTTTTCCACAGGCAGATTTTTATTTGGCAAATTTTTTGTTTTCTCTTTTGAAATTTTCGCTTGCTTTTCCATTAGCAAATTTTCGAATCAAAATACAAAAGAAAGAAAATAAAAGTCAAAAGTGTTTGCATTTTAAAGATTTTTTTTTTAATATTTTATTTATTTTTTATATATTTTATTATATAAATTGCAAAAATTAAAAATTAAATTTCACTTGCACAAATTAAAGCAACAGGTTTGTAAACAAAAGCCGGCTGTGTGTCAGTAAAGCGAATAGGTTCAAAAGAAATGTCAACCGAATTGTTTTCAACGAACAGAGCAAAGCAGAATTTGCGTGTACGGCAAATTCTGAACAGGCAAATTTTTGTTTTTCTTCCTCGCACCCCTCTCGCCTACAAACTCAGTATTTGCCAAATAAAAATTTGCCTGTGGAAAAGCAGACTAAGGAGATGTATCAAAACAAAAACCTTTGTTTTTGTCTCGACCATCTGTCAAATTTTTCCTTATAGTATTTCACATGGTTGGCAACATTGCAAATCGAATTCAAGTAGAAATTACGCACTTTGACAGTTAATCGAGACATCAGCTGCGCTAAATGGACTACCTATTTATTGTACCATGCAAAAACCTTTGTTTTTGTCTCGAACATCCGTCAAATTTATCCTTATAATATTTCACATGGTTGGCAATATTGCACATCAAATTCAAGTTGAAATTACGCTCTTTGACAGCGAGTGATCAGCTGCTCTAAATGGACTACCTATTTATTGTGCAATGGAATTTGTTTAGAAATTTTAATCCATCGGCCAATAATAAGATGATTTCACCCGAGCTGTCAAAATGCTTTCAATTTTGACCATGATGCAATAATATGGTGATATATCAAAACATAAACTTTTGTTTTTGTCTCAACCATCTGTCAAATTTTTCCTTATAATATTTCACATGGTTGGCAACACTGCACATCGAATTCAAGTAGAAATTACGCACTTTGACAGTTAATCGAGACATCAGCTGCTCTAAATGGACTACCTATTTATTGTACCATGAATTTTGACTTAATCATGTGAAAACGTAAACAATAAATTTGACAGCTAGTGGGATTTTAATCAAAATATTTAAAATTTTAGATATGTGTTAAATATATTTTGATTATATTTTGAATTGGAATTGGAAATTACATATTTGCATTTACAATGTTAATCATGCCAATCAATAGATGGAGCTGTCGACAGATCATTGCCAGGATTGCCAAACTGCACAAAACTCACATATATTTTAGATTGTTAATAACTTTGGAACGCCTTGGGTTATTTTGAAAATTCAAATTTTTATTATTTTTTTTATTTTTTTAAAGAATATTTTTTTCAAGACCAGCACAGAAGTGATTTTTTATAAAATATTTTTAAATCACTGCTCTAGACGAGGATTTTTTAAAGACCAGAACAGTCGTGGATCTTATTTAAGAATATCTTTTCAAGACCAGTACTGGCGTAGATTTTATTAAAGAATATTTTTTTCAAAACCAGCACAGGCGTAGATTTTATTAAAGAATATTTTTTTCAAAATCAGCACAGGCGTGGATTTTTTAACGAATATTTTTTTAACACCAAAGCTCAGCCCTAGGCCTGGAGTTTTTAAAGAATTATCACAAAGCTCAGCCCTAGGCGTGGATTTTTTAAAGAATTATTACAAAGCTCAGCCCTAGGCTTGGATTTTTTAAAGAATTATTACAGAGCTCAGTCCTAGACGTGTTTTTTTTAAAGAATTATTACAAAGCTCAGCCCCAGGCGTGGATTTTTTAAAGAATTATTACAAAGCTCAGCCCTAGGCGTGGTTTTTTTAAGAATTATTACAAAGCTCAGCCCTAGGCGTGGTTTTTTTTTAAAGAATTATTACAAAGCTCAGCCCTAGGCGTGGATTTTTTTAAGGAATTATTACAAAGCTCAGCCATAGGCGTGGATTTTTTAAAGAATTATTACAAAGTTCAGCCCTAGGCGTGGATTTTTTTAAAGAATTATTACAAAGCCCAGCCCTAGGCTTGGATTTTTTAAAGAATTATTACAAAGCTCAGCCCTAGGCATGGATTTTTTTAACGAATTATTACAAAGCTCAGCCCTAGGCGTGGATTTTTTAAAGAATTATTACAAAGCTCAGCCCTAGGCGTGGTTTTTTTTAAAAAATTATTAAAACGTTCAGCCCTATGCGTGGATTTTTTAAAGAATTATTACAAAGCTCAGCCCTAGGCGTGGTTTTTTTTTAAGAATTATTACAAAGCTCAGCCCTAGGCGTGGTTTTTTTTAAAGAATTATTACAAAGCTCAGCCCTATTCTATTTTTCGAACCTGATGTTCCTCTCCTTCTGGTACCTCCCCCACTAAGGGTCACCATTTTACAAACCTTTTTTTAAAGAATTGAATAATCGATTTTGATTCATTGTTTCCACATTGTAGTATTTTACCAAACCTCCGAAGATGCGGTCTATAGGCCAACGTCTTCTGCTACCTCTCCGCAGAAGGTCAACATTCCTTTTATATAAAGAATAATAAAACCTGTGTATAAATCTGTAGACCTCCGCAAACCATAAACTGAGACCTGTTGGTCTTCTACACAAACTCAAATGTTATTCCTCCAACAAACAAGACCCACCTATTGGCCCATTGACATTATTATTAACACAAATTATCAACAGACATTCATAGCAATTGTCTTTCGTTACTATAGTTTCCGTTTGCTCTGACGTCAATTCTGTTGTATATTCAATGGACTTCATTGTTGAAATAATCTGAATGTTAAACCTGACTACCGCATTCTTGCAAGGATAACACAAAAAAAAATGTCTTCTGAATTTATTACACACACAGAGAATGCATGAGGGACTATTTTTAGTAACAGAATTGTTACGCTAATTCATTTACATACTAATTTTAAAACTTATTAACATAACCAACAACTATTTGAATTCAAGTGGAGTTTATGGCTGTAAATATAACACACAAACTATTGTTTTTAATTTGGCAATGTTGGACAGAGTTTTAAAGTGCGTCACTAGTTGGTGAATGGTATACAACATACCATATACCCTGTGAAACCGTAAAACATTTAATTTCAAACATTTGTCTAGTTTTACAAATTGTCGTTATTATTTTTTACATGTTTTTAACATTTATAATGCTGTATTTGTTATACAAAACAAACCTTCTTAGATATTATTTTAAGGACAATATACTCAAGTCCTCTTAGTTCCTCATATCCAAAATATATTTCTTTCCCGTGAAACCTTTGAAATTCAAGGCCGCAGCTGTGGCTTCTTTAAATTGTTCCAATGGCACCAGCTCATGTACAGGGCCGACAAATTTCTTTTGCAACATTAAATCACACAATTCAGCAAACATTCGCATACGTTCCTCGGACTGGGCATTCTCTTTGCTCCAACGAGTCATCCAGAAACCATGAAATGATATATCCTTAAAGATCAGAGCAGCTGTGGCGGCAATTACGGGTTCCCTTGACATACCACCATAAGTTACATGCACTCCTTTATCAGCCAATTGACGTCCAACTTCTGTGGCACTTTTACCACCAACACAATTAAGAGCTAAACGTGGCTTAGGTAAGCTACCACTTTTGAATAGGGTTGTGGTGCGTAACTCTTCTTCGGTGAGTACCTCAGTTGCACCCAAACTACGTAAGTGGTCCTTGAGGCCATTGATGTCAGGACGATCTCTAACCACACCCACGGACTTGAGGTTCCATGCTTTACATAGTTGATGTACAGCTTGTCCCACACCACTGTTTGCACCATTCTGTATAACAGTTTCGCCGGGTGACAATTTTACGAAATCCTTAAGCATGCGATATGCAGTACAAGGATTCACGGTTATAGTGGCCGCCTCAGCTAGACCAATATCATTTGATATGGGCATAAGTTGGTCTTCAGTGTAGAGAGCATGAGTTGTCCAGGTGCCGATGCCAGTAACAAATGGAACAACATGTTGGCCTTTTTGTAGCTTTTGAACGGCATCACCGACTTCAATTACCTCTGCGACACATTCATTACCGGCAGTGGCAGGGAATTTTGGTTTAACGGGATATTTTCCTAAAAAAAAAAAAAAAACAAAGAGATATTTATTGATAGGAATAAACTATATGAATACAAAATAAATAAAATATTTTGGATACTTTAATTTTCGAAATATATTCTGCTTCTTTTATAAAGAGATTGAGGCCTTTTATTGTAAATACATTTTTAAAAATAAAACTGAATTTTTTTATTTGGCCAAAATAAAATATCCCTAGCGCCATCTATGATAAATTATAAGCGTTATAAGCCGGCAGCAGCTTCTAAACCACTGATATGCACTTTAACCCGCCGACACAGTGTTACTTAATCAAAGGAAATCTCCAGATGAGTTTTAAAACAATAATAAACAAAATATATTATGATATTAATAACCAATTATGTTATATTATACCTTGTATTGTATTAATATCGGCAGGATTAATAGGAGCGGCCAATATTTTCACCAAGACCTGCTTGTTTTTGGGACTGTCTATTTTTTCCTCAACCAATTTCAAAACATCACCGGGTTCACCATATTCGGAATATTTTAGTGACTTAGCACATATGGACATATAACGGGAACTATACTTTGTGCCAACATTGAGTAAATTATTAAATTGTATTATTTTAAACATTTTCCGTATTTTTGTTCTATTATTTCTATCGTTAATTTCAGTGGTTCATTTAATGGAACCAGAAAGAACTAGTTTAACAGCTGTTTATTCATACAGTTGTTTAGTGTGTGCATTTCTTTGCAAATGGCTGGTTGGTGTATGTTCAGTGCTTACTTTATACTGTAGAGGCAGTTTGAGGAGTGTTAATTAAAATGAATGTAGTACATTTATTTATAATTTTTTATACGCCAGCCATCAAAAATCTCAGAAAATATATAAAAAAAATTGTTTCTGACTTTATTATTGTTTTAATTGCCTTATTGTTTAACATAAGCCCAACTAATATTTGTTGAGTATGTTCAGTGCGTAGGTTACAATGTTTTTGAAGGAAAGTAATTAAAAAATCCCCCGTTTAATTATCACGACAATAATTACGGATTTCTGGGAACAATTAGATGGATCCATATTAGTCTTAATAATTTGGAATACTATCTGGAGCTATTGTGCATTGTATACATTGAGTTGCTTGATCGTTGTGAAACTTAAACCTTGAAGATGTATTTAAAATACTTTGTCATATATTAATCCCACTCTTAAAATAATTAAAAAAACAACAACATATTATATTAATGCAACATTAATACATTCACCTTCCATTTTTATTAATGCTGTAAATATATATACTATTTTGCGTTTCTACGGACTACAACGATTTCTTTTCCTTTCGACATAATGCTTTCCTTTCTTTATTGGTCTTATCATATATACAAATAGAAATGCTTAAAGTTTAAGAGAAAAAAATGTGTATATATATGTATGTATATGATAAAAATAATTCGTTCATTTCTTCCTGTTTTTATCTTTTTTCTCTTTCTGGCCAATTGTTTCTTTGCGATAAAATGATATTACAAAAGAAACACAAAAATAAAAAACAAATAACATGGTATATATAAAAAATAAATTAAATTAAAATTTGTATAATAAAGTTGTAGAAGGAAAAAAGTAAAAAAAACAACCATTGTTTTGAGATTTTGAAATGTATGTTTTAAGAGGGTTGGGTTGGTAATTAAGGCAGATTAAGGGATCTTGTAAATTGGAATGAATAGCATAAAAACACATGTATTGAGATTGGACTTAAAATAGACAATGCACAGAACATTTTGTTTTCTTGTAGATTTTTCGTTTGTTAAAACTTATTTTGAATATACAAATAATTCGTTCGTTTCAATTTTTTTGTTTTTGTAACACAAATTTACCGTGTTGTACAACAGTGATGATGATGTTTTTGTTTTCGGAAATTTAAACACGACAACCACAATCTGGTTTATTAATGCTACGCTGACGAGTCTGTTGCAGATTTCGTAGAGCCGCACCACCATACTGTATACCACTGCCAATACGTTCCGGGTCCAATTCACCGGTTTCAATTTTTGCCAAAATTGTTTTTGAACATTTCAAAAAGGCCTCCTCGACATTTTCACCGGTTTTTGCACTTGTCTCAAGGAATATTAGTTCTGGAAAAGTAAATTTTTTAATGAATTGTTTTATATTATAAAATTGTGTTACTTTACCATTCTCCTGGGCAAATGTGCTGGCCTCCAAAAAGGTAACATCTCTGGCTTCTTCCAAATCTTTTTTATTGCCCACCAGCAAAATAACAATATTTGGACTGGCCAATGTTCGGGCATCATTTAACCAATTGGTTAGGGCATTGAACGAATCACGTGATGTTGTATCATATACTAGCAAAGCTCCGGCAGCTCCGCGGTAGTATGATCGTGTAACAGAACGAAAACGTTCCTGACCAGCAGTATCCCATATTTGTAATTTTACCGATTTTCCGCCGACATTGACAATTCGCGATCCAAATTCAACACCAATTGTGTGTGAACTATCGTCTTTGACTGAATAAAAAATATTTTAAATAAAAAATCATTGTAAATTTATAAGCGTTGTTATATTCTTAACCACGTACTTAGAATATCAGAATAAAATATTTCAAATCTACTATTTACTAAATTATCTCCATATTCAGTAGCAAGATCCTCATATAAATTGTATTTTATTAGAACCATGTAATCTGGATGACTTGCTCATCATTGTGTACTTCTTTCCCGGTTACCATTAAACCACAAATTTATGCATATAGATCAGTCAGTCTTCACTCCAAGATCCCACAATAAACTCCAAACCCAATTTTTTGAAATTTTAACAACTTCCACTTAATCGTAAATCTTTGAGAAAACTTTTCACTTAGTCATAACCCAAATAACAATAGAATTGACATGTTTTCATTTCAACAACTGGTTCCCCCTTCGACAACTTTTCATCACCATCACCATCAAAAAAACTACACCATCAAAACACGCAATTTCTACCAACAAAACGAACGAACACACAACCAACCTTGGCCATGTTTACCAGAAAATTTTCACAACACTTACATTTGTTTTCAATAAAATGATGTAGAAGACAACTTTTCCCACTTCCAGCACTTCCAATGATCAGAAATTTAAACAAATAATCTATAAAAAAAGAAGGAAACACCAAAATTAAAAACAAAGTCAACACAAAATGCATTGAAGTTGCAATGAATGTGAACAAAATCAATTACCGTATGTTTCGGACATGTTTTATTTTGTTTTCGATATAGGTTTATTTATTTGAACTATTCGAGTCGTCGTCTCCAATAATTATAAGAATTTTAAATACAATGTTTAAACGAATAAAACTAGTTTTATTATTATTTTTTTATGAACAAAACAAAAATTGTCTTCTTATTACTTATTATTAGAGATGGCAAACGAAATCGATGGTGGGCGATAATCGTATTATCATAATTAATATCGATTAGTTTAGCAGTCTACGAGGTTAGTTCAAAAAGGATGGTAGATTGCAAAAGGTATGGCTGTTTACTTCATTACGGTTGTTCAGTGTTGGCATTTTCTTGTAAATAGGAGAATTGTGTATGTTCAGTGTTGCGGAGGCAAAATACTACGTTTTGAGTATGTTCAGTGTTTATATTACAATGGCTTAGAAGAAAAGTATTAAAAAACATTAATTATAAGGCTTCTAAAGGAAGGTATTCTGTTCCAGGTACAACTGTTTACCCATACAGTTATTCAGCGTTTATATTTCCTTGTAACTGCGTGCGTTGTGTATGTTCAGTGTTTACATTGTATTGCGGAGACAAAATACTATATGTTGAGTATGTTCAGTGTGTATGTTGTAGTGTTCTAGAAGGAAAGTAATAAAAAAGAGTTCTAATTGAAAATTATACCAATAATTTGAAAAATACGGAAATGGGAGATAATTATAACATTTTGGAAACTGTAAATTAATTAAATGGTGATTTATCATAAAATACGTTCAGCCCAACAATCAGAACGTATTGTCATGGTATAATAATACAAGGTTGGTTATGTTTTGACAATAGAGATGAAACACAACTTTTTCTTATGGCTTGTTATATCAGAAAAAATATAAACAAATGTAACAAGTAATCTATTTTTTGTTGTTCTATATAATAAAGCAAAACATTGTTATCGTAGTAAAAAATTTTTACATTCTTGCATTTTCTGGGACAAAAATAATTGGTCTATCCCGAATCTGCAAGAATGTACAATTTCTTACTACGATAACAATTTGGCCTTTATGATATCGGAAAAAAATAGTAAAAATTAGTAGACTATTGCAGTATGAGAATATACCAAATATGTCGCTGAATGATCGCTAGTGTAATATAACTTATTTGTAACAAAACCTGCATGAATATTTATTTAATGGAAAATTTTTTTAAAAGTTTTGAGTTTGGGAACAGACCAAAGAAATATTTCCTTTTTTTCTAAAGTAGAAAATTCCCACGATGATCTGTTCCCGTATTTAATAATCTACTTTATTTCCAATATGAAAGGAAATATTTGGTCAGTTCCCATACTGCAAGAATCTACTAGGTCCAAAGGAGATGCTCCAATATTAAAATGACCGGTAGACACTGTGCTACAAAAACTATATCAAAGCAGAAGCTGAAAAAACAGGTCGCGGATAATTTTATCCATATTTCCAGAGATATGGGCATCCAAAGCCCTTTTTAGTTATAAATCTGTATATGACTGCCGAATCTTCTTAAGACCTTTTTCTATGGACAGGTGGACAAAAGGGGTACAAAATAGAATATTTTTATAAGATAAAATACAACGACTTTGGAAAACCGTTTCTCGTCAAGTAGAGACTACTTTGGACTTCAACCGCATCTAAATGATATTCATATTGTCATTGGTAATTTAGAAACAATTGAAAAATAAGTCGGTCCAAAAGAAGTTTTCCAGGCCTCTGGAAAACTGTATATTATAAAGTCATAATCGCAGAAAATCCGGACAGGACGTTTATGCTGGACTCGTAAATTTCATTCTCAGATAGAACTTGGATATGGCCTCATGAAACACGACCAATAGTAGTTTGCCAGCGGCGCATTAAAATTTATCATTTCCCAGTAGAGTAATATTGTTTCCAGTTCTGTGGCTCCACTCATTTTTATCCATTCCAAAATCCTTTTTCCTTTAAAATATAAACACTTTAAAATTTACGATGGATTAAATTTATTGCATATTAATAGCATTATCATTAAATAAAACTATATAGAACTCAAAAAAAGAACACATTTATTCGGATTTCTCGAATTTTGAACCATAGAATGGAACATATTGGAGTACCAATTTCCAGTCGGTGAAGTACAAGAGACCCAATGTGGCGGCACCACCAAAGCCGACAGCTGAGCCAACGCTGCAAAAAGAGAGAAACCAAATTATTACAACTAATTTTTAACAGTGTATATTTTTGGTGGTCTAGAAGAAGTCGGCAGCAGCAACAAAACACTTGGTTATGCAACTTATTTGGAATTTGCCAACTTTTTTACACCAATGTTTACCGAATTTTTAATGTGTTATTAACTTACAAGGATGTGGCGATTTCAGCGTGTTTCTTGCCAAATGGAACTCTCATATTGTATAGTTTTTTCTATTTATTTAGATAAATTTCTATATGGATATTTTCACTTAGAAGTTCGGCCTCCTCTTCAAATAACCCCGAATATGGAATTGACATACGCATTCACAGGTGAGATGATATCACTGATATCGCCGTTTGCTGTCACAGTTTGTCATTGATGTTGGTTTGTTTAAATGATAACGTTGGCGTATAACGGTTATTATGTGTGGAAATGGGAAATGGGTTAAGGTTGAATTGGACTATGTAGTTCACAAGGGTAAATAAGTGGTAAAATTCTTAAATAATATAAAAAATTAGGAAATTGTTATAAATGAACTCTATGGAATTGATATTGGACATTGAGTGGATATATTGAATTTAAACACAACAGGTAAAAAATCATATAGGTCATAAAACATACTACTGATGATTAAATTTCAACATCGAAGTTCCCAAGAAGCTGAAGCAAAACGGATTTCGTTCACATGGATTTATTTCAGAAATGCAAGTGCGGCCAAACAACAAATTGCATACAGTTTCGCGAGTACAAAATAATAAAAATGGGGAAGTGTCGTTATATGGGGGATATGTCGAGTCATGAACCTATATTGAGCATTTTCGGCTTAAATGTCCCAGGAACCTGCAATGAAAATACCAATGAAGCGGCAGGACCTATGGAACGAATGATTAACCAGTATATAAGGTTGGAAACAATTCGGCTGAAAAACTTGTCTGAAATGGAATAAGGGGTATATCTAAAGCCATAACTCTAATGATGTTCATTGGTAGCCATATTTGCCCCATAATTCGAACCCAGAATATAAAATTGGAGACTAGACGGCGGAAAAACCTGTAGGAAATCGCCAAAACATCGAAAATTCGGGCTATATAAGAGTTATTGGATAAAAAAACGTGACAGAAAACCTAAAAATTCTGAAATATGCAGATTACCGCTAAACGTAAAGCGATATGGAAATTTTTCCACGCAGGGAAAATCGAAATACGATTGTAAATCCCATCTTAGATCTTCAAATGTCAATATAAATATGACGATTTATGTATATAGCAAGTAAAAAAGTGTCAGTCAGATTTATACCCTCAGTCAATGGTTAGCGGCGGTTTTCAGAATTACACACAGGCCATGTTCTAGGCTTGGATATGATAATAGGTTGTGTAAAATTTGGTTCAAATCAGTCATTCCAATTGGATTTTTTAAATATCGAAAATTTTTACCATTTTTTGGGGAGGTACTAGAAGAGAGGACCAATTGGTTTCATTTTCGGACTTAATCTATGGTAGGGATAATAGGTTGTGTAACGTTTGGTGCGATTCCGAAATTCGTTATTTATAAATATTTACAATTTTGAAAGGAGGTACTAGAAAGAGTGGACCAATGGGTCCCATTTACGGACTTTATCTATACTTGGTAAAGATAATAGGCTGTACAAAGTTTGGTTCAAATTGGATGACTATCCACATGATATTATAAAATAATTTTTTGAACAATTTTGACCATTTTGTGGGAGATGTAAAGAAGCAGTGCCACCGATATTTCCCCATCTTCCAACTTGAACTAAGTTTGGAAGAAATATTAAGATGTGCAAAGTTTGTATGAAATCGGTTACATCCTTCGAGAGTTATCGTGCGCACCAGCCGGCCAGACAGACGGACCGACATTTGTAAATCGAATCCAAATTGTCTGAATCGTGATTGGTCCAAAGAAACATGGGGTCTAAAACCAATATTTCGATAAGGCACATTTTCAACGTATAAAAATGACTCAACAAGAAATTTTTTTACGCATAAAATTCAATTTTTTTCTTTATTAAATGTCCTCCCGTATTCAATTTACTCAAACTGCCTGTTGGGAAAGTCTGAATCATAGAATAACTCGCAATTTTCAGCATTTTCATATGTGTTACACATAAGGCTCAGTTAGATGAAACGGAATATTTCGAGATGCTGGAAACGGAATAATAAATTTAATATACGCTCCAATACGCTCCTTGTAATGCTGAAGGCTTTTAAAACTCCATTTCATTCCTTTTCACCTGCCACAAAAGGGTTAAATACGTTTTACCCCATTAGCACTGCAATCCACAGTTAAATGATAACCCCCCTTTCAACGTATGACATTTCATCTCTATGTGACGAAAAACGATTTCTAGATCCCTAACATTTTTCTAGTGTGGCTCAGTTCTCTCTCTACTTCAAGGCTCCAACGAACGCTCCAACTGACTTACGGTTCGTTAAAAACGGAAATAAAAAAGCAAATAATGTATATAAAATGTTTTAAAATTATTAATATAATTAATAAAATTACCCCCCAGTTGTGAACGAGTACGACGACAGCAACAACAACAGAAATTTGTTAGTGTATTAAACAAACAAATCCTACCTTTTTCCATAGTGCAGTGCATTTTGTGTGTGCGTTAGTATATGTGTTAGTTTTATTCATCATTTTTTGGTACTGTTGAATAGTAAAAGGGGGGTCGCGGCCGAACGAAGAGAATAAAAGAACGAACGAGCTAAGCAGCAACACCACCAATACCACAACAGACAAACTTGGACTTGTTTGTTCGTTAGTTGGCTCATATATATTGATGGAATGTTGTTTCGAAGAATTGTAGAAATATGTAAATTAGTTTTTTTGTTGTTGTTTCCTATTCCTATTCATACGCTAATAATTTATTAAATGCAATAATAACGAAGAAGTGAATGTAATTTGAATTGGTCACCGAAAAAAACGAAAAAAAACAAAGACCATGGATGAGAATACATTAAATGATCTATTGGAATGTTCGGTGTGTTTGGATCGTTTAAAGGATTCAAAAGTTCTACCATGTCAACATACATTTTGTCGAAAATGTCTTGAGGTAAGTGTGCTTGCTGCTGCATGCATGACCATGATGAAATTCATAATATGTAAATGTGTGCGTGTGTGTGCATGTTTCTGTTTGCAGGTTATTTATGCCAGTCGTCAGGAGCTAAGATGTCCCGAATGCCGTATACTTGTTGAAACGAAGATAGATGATTTGCCGCCGAATGTTTTGCTTATGCGAATATTGGAGGGTATGTAAATTTAAATGACAAAATAACTCCTTTAAAATAAATCGAAATTTCTTCGTATTATAAAATAAGCCGAAGAAACACCTTCACACTATTTTTTGTAAAGTATGTCTTGAGTTTCTTTAATGCACTTGTGTACTTTTTTAAACCTACCCACATGGTGTCGGCACTAGCAGACACAATTACCAACCAACCCACTTAACTGTCCATATGCTTTCGGACAACATACTTCATAATGGTTATGGTGTTGTTGTCTAGAGATTTAGAAATTTAATGAAGATTAAATCTTTACGACATTTCGTGGTAAACCTTGAAACAACTTTAATTTTTAAAACAACTAATCGGTATCAAAAAAATATAATTCTATTTACTAATTATGACATTAAATAGATAACTAATTTTATTTCTTTTTTTCTAGGCATGAAAAATGCTGCCGCTAAACAACAAAACCAGCAACAACAACATCACAGTAATAATGATTGGCCCAATGAAAAGATGGAGACATCCAAACAGCCCTTATCAGATTCAACTGTTAGCACAACAACAGCAGCAACAACAAGTAGTAATGAAGATAGACTAACATTACAACGACAAATCCAGCAACAACAACAATTACAACATCAACAGCATCAGCAACAACAACACCAGCAATTTCTACAATTACCAGCCCCAACAAATATTGCTCAAAACCTAACGGCGCCGCAGCATCATCATCCACAACAGCAGCAGCAGCTACATCAGCCCCCGCCACAATCATCCAACCAACAAAGACGTTGTATTGTTCCTCATGCCTATGCCCTATATGATTTCGATTCCAGTGAACCCAATGATTTGAAATTCAAAAAAGGTGATCTAATTCTGTTGCGACGTAAAATCGACAGCAATTGGTATGTGGGACAATTTAAAGGAGTCGAAGGAAATTTCCCCATCAACTATGTACAGGTAGTGGTGCCGCTGCCATCGGCCCAGTGCATTGCTTTGTATGATTTTAAAATGGGTCCCAACGAAGAGGAAGGTTGTTTGACATTTAAAAAAGGCACTGTCATACAGGTGCTACGTCGGGTAGATCAAAATTGGGCTGAGGGACGCATTGGTTCGTCCATTGGTATATTTCCCATTGCCTTTGTAGAATTAAACCACTTAGCCAAGCAGTTGTTGGAAAATTTCACACCACCCACAGCTGCTGTCACAACTGCTGCGGCGGGAGGACATTTACCACCCGCATTACAACAACAACAAACCGCTTTACAACAACAACAACAAGAATCACGTGACTTACCACCCATACCAGTTAGTGCAGATAGTTCCACCTCAGCCATAGACTCCACAAAACCCGGCACATCTACCAACATTCAGTTATCTTGTTCCTCCTCATCAAATTCTTCGGCAACCACAAGTCCCACATCGACCACAACAAATCCCTCAACTTCATCCTCCACCACAGCATCATCAACCAATACCATTTTCCACTCTATGCCCAATAGTCCACAATCATCAATGCCCACCACCCCACAACATTCGGGACATCATCACAATCCCTCCTCAAGTTCGGTACGTTTGCGTAACAACGATATGAAACATAAGCGACATTCTCTCAATGCCCTCCTCAACAATAATGGTAGCACTGCCTTAAGTATTATGCAAAGTAGTAATCGGCATTCTGCCGAAATTCTAAGTGTACCCAATGATTTTGAACCGGATGTGGCAATGAGTTCCACAGCCACGGGGCAAACAACTGCCGCCAGGGAACAACAACATCATGCAACAAATTTACCACCAGCCACAAACAAAGGCCAAACAATACAAAATCCCTCCAACATGGCCAGTACATCATCAACACCACGTCACAATGTTTTGAAAACCTGTCAACAAAATGTACCACCCACTTTGCCATGGGGTTATTTGGCCCTATATCCCTATAAGCCACGGAAAAATGATGAACTCGAATTAAAGAAAGGTTGTGTTTATATGGTTACTGAACGTTGTTTGGACGGATGGTTTAAAGGTAAAAATTGGAAAGATATTAGTGGTGTATTTCCCGGGAATTATGTTACGCCGTTACGTGCCAGAGATCAACAACAATTGATGCATAGTTGGAAATTAATACCACCCACAAATTATATTAATAACCACAATGTATCCTTGGCAAGTGGAAACCATCAACACACATTGCAACAACAACAGCAGCAACAACAACAAATGGCCACCTCCACATATTCCTCATCAATGCGTCATGATTTGGAAAATATTAATGCTCGTCTAACGCTGGCAAATTTAACACCCCACCAAGCAATGCCACCTGACCTACCACCTCGGCACATGGCCTTAAGTCCGGTGCCCTTAAATAATCAAAGACAGCCACAAGAACAACCACAAACGAATATTTCCTCTAGAGAATCACGTGATAAAGAGGCATTAAAAGAAAAACCCACAACTACAGGTTGTATGTCAACATCATCATCCTCCTCCAACTCTACATCCTCAGCTTCGGCAGGTTTGAAAAAGTTTTTAACACACATCAAGTCGAGATCGAAATCACCCGGAGCAGCTATTGCTGCTGTGGCAGTGGCTGCTTCAACATTGGCCACAACACAGATAAATGCTGCAGCCAATGCGGCAGCTGCTGCTAATGCTATGACAGCATCAACACCAACTCAACAACAGCAGCAGCAACAACAACAGGGATCGATGACGGGACATGGTCTTACACCCGTTCATGTGCGGTAAGTAATTCTGACGTTTTGAAATATTAAACAAATTAACTGAAGGATGTCTTTTGAAAAAGACAAAGGTCTCCTTTTGTAGAAGATCTGACAGAGAACACACAGAGAGAGAGAGAGAGGAGAAAAAGATCTTCATTTGAAGAAGAGCGAGCACAATCTTTTGTAGAATAGATGAAAGTATTCACTTTTAGGTCTGGCTATTTTATGCTGGATGTTTTCTTTTATCGAAGATCTGAAGGTCTTACTTTATAAAAAGCTAATGATCTTCATTTATAGAAGAGCTGAAGGTATTATTTTATAGAAGAGCTGAAGGTGTTCTTTTATAGAAGAGCTGAAGGTCTTCTTTTATAGAAGAGATGAGGGTCTTCTTTTATAGAAGAGCTGAAGGTCTTCTTTTATAGAAGAGCTGAAGGTCTTCTTTTATAGAAGAGCTGAAGGTCTTCTTTTATAGAAGAGCTGAAGGTCTTCTTTTATAGAAGAGCTGAAGGTCTTCTTTTATAGAAGAGCTGAAGGTCTTCTTTTATACAAGAGCTGAAGGTCTTCTTTTATAGAAGAGCTGAAGGTCTTCTTTTATACAAGAGCTGAAGGTCTTTTTTTATACAAGAGCTGAAGGTCTTCTTTTATAGAAGAGCTGAAGGTCTTCTTTTATAGAAGAGCTGAAGGTCTTCTTTTATACAAGAGCTGAAGGTCTTCTTTTATACAAGAGCTGAAGGTCTTCTTTTATAGAAGAGCTGAAGGTCTTCTTTTATACAAGAGCTGAAGGTCTTATTTTATACAAGAGCTGAAGGTCTTCTTTTATAAAAGAGATGAGGGTCTTCTTTTATAGAAGAGATAAGGGTCTTCTTTTATAGAAGAGCTGAAGGTCTTCTTTTATAGAAGAGCTGAAGGTCTTCTTTTATAGAAGAGCTGAAGGTCTTCTTTTATAGAAGAGCTGAAAGTCTTCTTTTATAGAAGAGCTGAAGGTCTTCTTTTGTAGAAGAGCTGAAGGTCTTCTTTTATAGAAGTGCTGAAGGTCTTCTTTTATAGAAGAGCTGAAGGTCTTCTTTTATAGAAGAGCTGAAGGTCTTCTTTTATAGAAGAGCTGAAGGTCTTCTTTTATAGAAGAGCTGAAGGTCTTCTTTTATAGAAGAGCTGAAGTTCTTTTTCTTTTTAAGAAGACCTGCAGGTCTTTTTCATTTTAATAAGAAGTGCAGGTCTTTTTCTTTTTAAGAAGAACTGAAGGTATTTTTCTTTTTAAGATAAGCTGAAGGTTCTCTTCTTTTATAGACGACCTAATGGTTTTTCTTTTATAGAAGAGCTGAAGGTCTTCTTTTATAGAAGAGCTGAAGGTCTTCTTTTATAGAAGAGCTGAAGGTCTTCTTTTATAGAAGAGCTGAAGGTCTTCTTTTATACAAGAGCTGAAGGTCTTCTTTTATACAAGAGCTGAAGGTCTTCTTTTATACAAGAGCTGAAGGTCTTCTTTTATAGAAGAGCTGAAGGTCTTCTTTTATACAAGAGCTGAAGGTCTTCTTTTATACAAGAGCTGAAGGTCTTCTTTTATACAAGAGCTGAAGGTCTTCTTTTATAGAAGAGCTGAAGGTCTTCTTTTATACAAGAGCTGAAGGTCTTATTTTATACAAGAGCTGAAGGTCTTCTTTTATAGAAGAGCTGAAGGTCTTTTTTTATAGAAGAGCTGAAGGTCTTCTTTTATAGAAGAGCTGAAGGTCTTCTTTTATAGAAGAGCTGAAAGTCTTCTTTTATAGAAGAGCTGAAGGTCTTCTTTTATAGAAGTGCTGAAGGTCTTCTTCCATAGAAGTGCTGAAGGTCTTCTTTTATAGAAGAGCTGAAGGTCTTCTTTTATAGAAGAGCTGAAGTTCTTTTTCTTTTTAAGAAGACCTGCAGGTCTTTTTCATTTTAATAAGAAGTGCAGGTCTTTTTCTTTTTAAGAAGAACTGAAGGTATTTTTCTTTTTAAGATAAGCTGAAGGTTCTTTTCTTTTATAGACGACCTAATGGTTTTTCTTTTATAGAGCTAAAGGTCTTTCTTATAAAAGAGCTGAAGGTATTATGTTATATGAGAGCTGAAGGTCTTATGTTATAGGATCGTTGAGGGTTCTTCTTTTATAGAGAAGATGAAGGTCATCTTTTTTAGCAGAGATGAATGTCTTCTTTTATGGAACAAATATAGAAATAATGTTTTATGGAAGATCAGAAGACCTTATTTATAGAACAGAAGGATGGAAGACTACTTTTGCAATATTTTCAAACCCACTACCATCCAAGGTTTCCCCTTAGGCTGTATTATTTTTTATTATTTATTATTTTCCTTTCAATTAGAATAAAATTTCTAATAAATTTTCTATTTTAGTTCGGGTTCCTGTCCCAGTCAACTGTTGCAACATTTTCCCAATGATCGTCGGACACTAAATGAAACAAAAGATGAATCTGGCAATGTCACAGCACATAGCCTACAACAGCAGCAACTTACACCACCTCCACCCAATGGTTATAGTTCGCAGCGTATCAAAGGTCCCAAAGAAAGGGCCTCATTGGAAAAGTATGTAGACCTTCAACCTTTTATTTCCATAATATATTTTTAATATTATTTTTTGTATCTTCCTCACAGTACACGTCCCACAATTGACTCAACCTTACGCAGTATTTATGCCAATCACATACAACAACAATCGAATCTAATGCCCAAAAAATGTGCTCAACAATATCAACAACAACAAACAATGTCGTCACCACAATCCTCGAATACAACAAATATGAATAGTACACCCTCCACCACGGCGGTTATTCATCGTAAATCTCATTCCTTAGATGCCTCGAATATTTTACAATCATCATCCGCAGCAGCGGCAGCAAATAATATTGTCACAGCAGCTACAAGTAGTTCCGATTTAACACAATGTAATATAAATGCGGCTGCCGTGCATGCAAGTGCAACAACAAATACCCCAAACAATATGACAGAAAGGTAAGTTTATGGTTTGACCATAAATGGTCGAAAAAAAATTTTTGATTTATGATTAATTTGTTTTTTTTTTTTATTGTCTAGCCGTTTTCGTTGTGTGGTACCATATCCCCCAAACAGCGAGGTCGAATTGGAGCTTCAAGTCGGTGATATAATATTTGTTTATCGTAAACAAAAAAATGGTTGGTACAAGGGTACCAATTCAAGAACTTATAAGACTGGTTTATTTCCTGCTTCATTTGTTGAACCTGATTTATAAACGATTTTTTTTCTATGTATACACAAAACTAAGACTTACAAAAATCATTTATAACACACAAATCATAATGTATATACAGTGAGATATATACTTACATTATTTCACAACAAACATAAATTTTTCCTTTTTGCTAAAAAGACAGCACACATATCATGCGCACATTACATACAAGTCTAAACTACATTTTTTTTATTTTTTGTTCTTATTTTTTTAATTGTATTCATAGAATTTTTCTCAAACTGCCATTTTTCTCTATAAATATTAGATTTTTTTGTTAAAATTTTGTTCTTAAAACGCTGGTCGCTTTTATATATTTTTCTAGGAAATAACTTTTTTAAAAACTCTTTTTTTTAAACTATAATAACAAGAAAATATTGTTATTAGCTACACTACTAAATGAATTCATAAATAATGTTAGGCAACCTTAAAAATAAAGAAATTTAAATAACAGTGAATATTGTTTATATTAGTTAAGTTTATATATTAAAAATATTTCTATATAGTTATTATTTTATAGTCCAAAATGCTTCCTTAGCTGTATACTTAATATAAATATGTTTTTTTTTCTTTTTTGGAATTAAGTGATCATTTTTTAAGTTATATTCTCCAAAGTCGTCCTCCCCCCAAATTTTTCCTTTATGCTTTAAATTGTGTTTTTCTTTATTTTTTTTTAGATTTTTGTAAATATGTTTTTTCTGTTATGTTTTGTGTTGAACATTTTTGCCATAAACTACACAAAATATATAAATATGTTTTTCTTTTTTTTTTTAATTTTTAAGATAAACAATCCCAGCTCCCCCAAAAAATATATTTTTTATATTAATTATAACACTTTAATAAGAAAAAAAAAATTGAAAACGTTTTATTACTACTAATACGAATTTTAATGCCGACCATTACTAAACAAAAAAACCAACAACAACAAAATACATTTTCTCTGCAATGTTCTAAATAAAACAAAAAAATAAACTCTGAAATCTTCTTAACAAACAATTTGAGTCAATTTAATGTTTCAATACGAAGGAGAAATTTTAAAGCAGTGTACAAGTACTAGATACTGCTTGCCGCTAAGAATGAATTCCAACTAATCTAAATAAGACTTTCAGCTTGTTTACTAAAAATATATTCAGCACTTTTCCTTAGTTCTGATATTCCACAAGTATAAATACCTTAGGCTCATGTGATCATCAGAGTGAAAATCGAGGCGATTAGGATCATGGACGACTAATACTCATTAATTTGTTACTGCTGAGGCGTGACAACTATCTAATACTCAAAAAACGTTGTTTCAACCTGTCAAAGCCGAAGATGTGGATTTCGATAAAGATGTTGACAAACTTCCTGTAGTTGGTGGTTTTTCTTTTAATGCCTCTTAATAACGAGTTTCCATTGAGGATATATCAGTTAATTTCCTCTCATTTATGAATTGTGGAGAACGGGTCTTAACCTGTCGTCAGACGTATGGGAACAAATGTTAGGGGAAATTAACCCATATTAATTTAAGGTAAATCTAATTCGGTTACGGTAATTTTATTGCTGAAAATTCAAATTTTTTTATTCTTCACGTGATTTCTATCCATTACAAATTACTGTTAAAATAAATGAAAACATTATTTTTTCAAATTAAATTAATTTTTATATAAATAAAAGTTTTATTACTTATCTACCCCCACTACTCCGATTACAACCATTATTATCTTATCTTCAAATCAAAGCGGCGGATAGAACAAATAAACTTCATTTCACATTTATACTTATGACTAAAAGCAGGAAAATCCCCCTTTTGTTATTAGAGAGTTAGGAATACACATGACGAGTACACAGTCCATGAGGCTACTTATTCCGATTTTTTAAAATTTTGATAACAATTAACAGGATCACTGGCCGTATACACCGAATAGGAAATTTTACTACCCTTGAAGTTCTGCAATTGAAAAAAATTGAGATCATGTAAATCAAATTCAAGGTGTGGGTGGGTGGTGTTTGTGGTACAACAAATGTCTTTACCTTAAAATCACCAATAATTAAGTACCAAAGGAACACAAATACCACTGGCATTAAACCGGAGGCAATAAACAGTTCAAATGTGCTATATTTATCTAAGAAATCCATTATTTTTTTATTAATTTAATTGAATTTATTTACAATTGGAGTCGAGCCGATGTGTGACAATTGGAGTTTCTTGTAGAACGAAATGAACCAACAAAGAGGAAATGTTCATTGAATGAAACTGAAAGGGAACTAGTGGCATGCTTTTTTTGTTTTGCTAATTTAGATATTTAATTTAGCATTTTAAAGTATTGCAAATGTAAAAATCTTAATTTATGGGACAAAACTAATAATGTGTGGCCTTATTAGTTAATACAAACGTTAAAAAAAGTTAATAATTTACATGAAAACGAAAAACGTCATTGCTCACTAGTTCCTTTATTAAGCCGTTAAGTGAACGACAAGATGAACTGTGTTACATCTATAATTACAGCGGATGGCATTATTGCCGCAATTGAGAATTAAAACCAGAAAAATACATTTTCCATAAAAATCAAAGATTAAATCAACAACAGGCTCGTATTCCCAGGGGCGGGAGCCAATATTTCCTCTAACCAAAATGATAATTCCTGTTTTAACAAACATTTTTGTTCATAAATCCCCAATTGAAATCTCCTTATAAGGAATACCGAATACATTTTTGGAATACCAACTACTCTGCTCTCATAAAAAAATACAACAGGAAAACAAAAACATACCGTGATTGCTCATACAGAAAAGAAACAGAGAAAAAAAATACAAATAAAGTCTATCGTCTTTGTCAAGAAAGACACACAAGCAAAAAATAATAACCATTAAAAATGGTTGGAATTATGGACGACACCTGCATACGTTATCCTCTGGGAACAAGGATAAAAATTGGTGATAATTGTGGAACTGTATGCTATGTGGGCGAGGTAAGTGTAAATCATGCCATCAGCTAGACAAAATACTAATAAAACTTGCCCCACCTACACAGGTTTTGGGCTATCAAGGTACCTGGTTGGGCATTGAATGGGATGATCCAAAACGTGGAAAACACAATGGCACCATTGATGGTAAACATTATTTCTATACACAACATCCAACAGCTGGCAGTTTCATACGCCCAGGCAAGGTGGGGCCATTCGAGTCGCTGGAGGAGGCAGCTCGTGAACGTTATTTGGGTTATTCGGAAAATGCTTTGGATCAGCAATTGTTGCGTGAGGCCCAAGAATCTTTACAGGCTTCATTTTTTGAGGTAGTCGGCATGGATAAGTTGGCACGTAAACAGAGTAAATTTGAACAGCTTACCGATGTTAGTGTGGATAATTGTGCTGTAAATTCGGCTGGTTATTTGAAGGAGTTTACCATGTTGACCACACTGAATTTGAGTCATACTTTGATATGGAACTGGGAAATTGTGGCAGATATATGTCGTCAAATTCCATCATTGAGAAATCTAAATTTGAGGTAAGATAAAATTTTGTAAAATTACGAGGGTAGGTCAAGAAGTTTGGGAAAATATTTTAAAATTCTTTTTAAATATTTTTTTTATCAATTTTTATAGTTGCAATCGCTTGGTGGTCCCCTCAGATTTGGACATATCAAATTTGGCAACGGCTTTTGACAATCTACGTTTTATAAATTTACGTGAATGTGGTTTTAACAATTGGTCCGATGTTATGCAGACAGCCTTGCTTTGGCCCTATATTGAATCATTAAGTCTACAAGGAAATCCAATCAGTGAACTATCAGTTGTGGATACAACAAAAATATTTAAAAATTTAAAGTAAGTTACCACCAATTTTTTCAATAACGAATTTTTCTCAATAATTTTCCATTCCCATTTTCCCTATAGAGAACTTGATTTACATCGCACCAAACTATGTGATTTCGATCAAGTCTGCAAATTAAGCAATATTAAAACATTGGAATTTTTAAATCTCATGGAAAATGGCATCGAGGTTATTAAGCTGCCCGATTGTGAAAGTGATGCAAAATTATTGGATATATTTCCGTCGTTGGAACATTTGAATATCTTCCACAATCCAATATGGAATGAGACAGATGCGTTTAATGAATTGGATAAGTTACCCAAATTGAAAAGGCTTAACAAGACACCACATTTGAAATCGGATTTCAATGAAATGTTTGTAAATGCCGTGGCAATGATCTCAAATTTACAAGTTTTGAATAAGGCACAAATCTCTCCGGAAGAGAGGCGTGGTGCAGAATATGATATTTGGAAGAAATATGCACCCGAATGGTTACAGGCTTCCATGAAACCGGAAACATTAAAGGAGTTCTATAAGAAACATCGTACATATGCCTTGATGTTGAAAAGTGTGTATTTAAATCATTTTTCTTTTAAAATCTAAATTAATTGCTTTTATTATTATTCTTTAGAATATGGTTCCCCAGCCGAATTTATACCCCGTTCCAATGCCAAGGTATCCAATCTAATCAAAATCCGTGTTTTACACTCAGAGACTGGAGATGTTTGGGAAAAGAAATTTCCACGCATGATCACGGTACAAACATTGCTTGGCCTAATTATAAAACGTTTTCACATGGATAGTGATACTGCGCCCCAGTTGTGTTATATCGATAACAAACATCCCGATTTGGTGGTGCCCATGGATAATTTGTCAAAAACTTTGGATTTTTATTCTCTGCAAGAAAATGATACAGTTTTGGTGAAATGGCAAAATTCTATGTAGACTGAATGAAGGCGAAATTTAAGCATTCTCAAGATATTTTTTTTTATTATACAAATTTGATATATTTTGTTGTATTAATATCGTTTTTTATATTGTCTATTAATCACAAAAGAAATTAGTTTTTAGTTGAAAATTGAATTGTATTATTTTTTTTATTTAACAAAAATTAATGGCATTTTTTATTGATTTTTTTATATAAAAAATTTATTGTACCTTTTTTTCTATTAGATTAGTTTAAAAAATTCACCTTGCCTAATATCAATTAAAAATTATATATGTTATTCAAAAGAAAAAAAAACAAATAAATGGTTCATATGTTGCAATGATGAGTTTAACAATTAAAATGCAGTGATATTGTTTTGAAGAATTAAATAGAGCGCCTGAAAGTATGCTATATATTTATACTAAAGCTTTGCTAGTAGATGTACTAGTTGCATTGCACAAATTTGTTTTTTATTGTTTGCTACAGAAAATAAAAATGTATATATTTAACCTTTAATTTAGTGTTTGTTTCCAATTTATTATAGTCTAGAATTGTTATAAAAAATTAAAAATTTAATAAAAGTCCATATAAAACGACCCAATACATTAATTCTCTGAGACTTGTTATCATTTGCTCATACATGCAAAAGCCAAAAATAGACTTACACATCCCTACTGTCATTTTGCCAATTGGTCAAAAGTCGATCTATAAAACCCTATATATTACATGCTGGGCATGTTTACATCAGTCAGTACTCCGGCAAAATGATTTTGATTTTAAAAAATATTACTAATTTAATAGAAACAAATATACAATTCAATAAATATGGCATATATCATTGCCTGCAACAACAGCAGCAGCGATCATATACCCAAGAGAGCAAATGTGAAAATGATGAGCAAAAAGATATAGCAAAACAGTATCGAGGAGGAGAGCAGAGGCTAGGTGAACAAAAATCCTTGAATATTGCTGTTATTGGCGTGCCCAACGCTGGGAAAAGTACATTTATTAATAATTTAATAAATCATAGGGTAAGTTTCTTTTATAACAACAAAAACACGTGATAAAAATATCCACTTATACAATTTAATTACAGGTATGTCCCACATCGTCGAAAGTACACACAACGAGGAAGTCCAATAAGGCCATATATACTACGGGTCAAACTCAATTGGTGTTCTATGACACCCCTGGCTTGGTGACACAAAAGGAAATCAATAGACACAAATTGGAAAAATCATTTAAAAGTTCTTACCGTCATGCCATTCAACATGCTGATATGATAGCCGTTATGCATGATGTCTCCAATACCTGGACGCGTAAACAATTACATCCAACTGTTATAGATAGCCTGAAGGCATATCCTCAATTGCCAAGTGTTTTAATATTAAATAAAATTGATGCATTAAAATCGAAACGTATTACATTGGAGTTGATACGGATACTCACGAATAATACCCTGAGTGGTAGGAAACATAATCGAATTGGTAAGAAATTGACATTGGATGAATCGAAAAAGGATGAAGAGGAGAAGCCGGCGGTGGAATTTGGTGATTTGCTGACCAATGAGGGTACATGGAGTAATTTTAGTGATGTTTTTTTGGTATCATCGATAACAGGTAGTGGGCTGAATAAAGTTCATGTGAGTCATAAGGGGAAAAACCAAAAAAAAAAAAAAGTTGTAATAATTATTTTTATAGGATTACTTCTTAAATGCGGCCAAATCCCGCAACTGGGAATTCCCCAGCGACACATTTACAGATGAACCTCCAGAGGATTTAATTGTGGCTAGTGTTAAGGCCCGTCTTTTGGACTATTTGCCACAGGAGATACCATATAATTTGGAGACATGCATTGAATACTACAATGTCCATAATGGTCAGTATACAATCAAATTTATTTTGAAAGATTATTGAATAAATATGTTTTGTGTTTTTTAGACACAATTTATGCTTCGGTGGAAGTGGTTTGTCCAACAAAACGTGTTGAACGTTTAATATGCGGTGAATCCAATGGCAGACTTAGGCAGATTACAGAACGTGTCACCTCAGATTTAGTGGAGACCTTTGGCAAACCAATATCCTTTACCATATCAACTAGACCCAGAGAGAAAACTAAAGAAGCTGCTAATTAAGTGGTTTTTGCATCATAACCAGAATTGTTAATTAATTTTATAGATTAATGTTTTCAAAATTATAAACCAAAAAACGAAGAAACGGAATTATTAAAAAATTATTTCATCAAAATGAAATTTTAAAGGACCCAGATTCCTTTTCCAGCAGAAGAGACTGTAATTTTGGGGTTTCAAAGGATATTATAGCTCTTGACAGAAAATTGCCAATATAGGTCACTGTTTTAATATAACCTCATACAGCGGGTCCGTCCCATTCTATATATTTTTAAGGTCCTTACAGCATTATACAACTCAGCAACAGTCATTTGATGAACGGCATGTTTGGCTTGAAAGAATCTAAAAACCTTTTTGTTTCCCATCTCAGACGTTAGAATTGTAATTTGTAACTGTTGAAAACAGACAAATTGCTGCGTTATTAAGAGGTTCTTTGTATCAGAATTTCCTATTTTTATTTAATAAAAAAATCGAAAACAATAAAATTACAATCTATAAACTTTTATTTACAAAATTTATATTTCTTTTTTTATAACAATTTTAAATGCCCAACAATTTTATCAATATTCTCCACGGTGTCTGGCCCAATACCCAAAACAGTTGCTGTACCCGCAGCCAGTTGTGTGCGACCAGCATCCTGGACAAGAGCTGCTGTAACATTTCCCTGCATGGCTTCCTTCTGTAGCTCTATTAACTGCTCAAAATTATCAACTTTTAAGACAATTTTTGGTTGTCCCATGGCAAGCCATGCGCGCAGTAACTCGCGATGTTTTTCATTACTGCTCGCCTGAGAATCCTGAACACATATAACGGCGGCATGGGCACATTGGGCAGCTGTTTTACCTTTGGACATTTTCAGATCGCCTCGTACAACTAGGGCCAGTTTTGTGGGTGGAGATGTTAGGTGCCGTGAGACATTATACAAGGTGCGTAAAAGTTTCGTCATTGTTGTTTTGTGGTGTTATTTATCAAGTTGTCTATAGTATTTGTTGTTGCTGTTATTTTACATTTGCATATTTTTTGCTTTGATTATCAACATAATCCTGCATACAGGCCTTAAATTCCTTTACACGATCCTGACAACGGCGCCAATCACCGGTCTCAGCAATACACTCTTGTACTTTATAGTGTAGATTAATGCAACCGGTTTTTTGTAACATCAACTCAACAGGATCTTGATCGGACATTATTTGTTTGGGGTTTTATTTAATAATTTGGTGTTTTTCTAATTTATTTTGGGCAAATTTTGGTCACATTCGTTGTTCGTAACGTAATCTTACAGCACACTCACATTGTTCTTCTTCTTCTTTTTGATTTGCATTAGGTAAAAGGGCATGATAGCATTGCCTTATGGGTTCACTCAAAGTGAAATGATAAACAGACTTTCTTTGCAATTATGGCAGCGGAAATAAACAATTTAAGTAGGAAATAATTAAAATCCACAAAATAATTAATTAATATTGATATTAAGAGCTAATTTAATTACTTCTCTTTATAAAATTCTGAAACACAAACGTCGAGCCTTGTTCTTCATCTCTATAACCCTATCAATCAGCTGTTCAATTTTGGTTAATGGTTACTTGATAAAAATGCATGGCTGCACATTTGTAAAAAGACATATTTCCGGTCTTATGGAATACAATTTTCGCCAAATTGGGTTTTGAAATATCAAAATGATCCGTTTAATCTAAAAGAATTTACAGGATATTTTAATATTAAAAATAAAAGTAATTCTTTATAAAGTCGTATGGCAACTGTCAACTTTTAGTTCAAACAAATGAGAAAAAAAAAACAATAATTTTATTAAACAAAATACTTTTTTTCTAAAGCTGAACATTGCTCTCAAGATTTTACCATGGTCGTAACAACTTATATTTATACGTTTTGGAGGCAGGGAATCTCAAAATGTTTATAAATCTAAATTATTTAGCAATTTTTGCCACTGAATACATGATTTGCGTACATTACGAAGGAGGATATTTTCATTTAAATTTTAAAAGCTGAATACTGTCATGCATGTGAATACCTTGTATAATTATGCCATGGGAAAGTATGTATATATGTATATATCAGCTGATTGACTTTATATAATTTTAATAGTAGTCTAAAAAGCAAGCATTTATTACCTTGATTTCGAAAGTATAGTCTAAACGCCCTTCTAGAATGGACACTCTGGGCTAAAGCAGCAATATTTTTAATTGTTCTTGAGGGAATTCCACAGCTCGAATTTTTCTATCAAATTCTGTATAGTGGTACGACAAGGTGCATTAAGCCCAAAAATTGTTTGGTTTTGTGATCTTAAAAGTTTCTAATGTAACAGAGACAGAAATAATAGTACGTTTACATTTAACCGGATTACGTTAACCCGCTGGGTTTCAATTGTCAATTCCTTTACATATATTTCAAATAAATCCTCATAAAGTAGGTTAACCCGGTAACAAGTTCTAATGTATATGCCGTTTAAGGTCCATTAATATGACCACCCTGTAATATCAGCTGTTTCTATAGTTTACTTTCAGAATACATCACTGAAAGGTTATTTAACGTGCGTCACCCAGCAAGTGAGAGTCAGCTGATTTTTCTCATGTCTAATGCCAAAAATTCGTTTACGTTTGCATAATGAAGTGAATTGACAATAACGGATGTTGACAGCAAACTTGAGGAACAGCTGATATGCAGCTGGTCTCCCTGGAAGTCCTTATAATAGACCTTGATATCAATGTACCTATGATGTTTCTATGAAAATCTCAGCCCTTAAATAATAACCTTCCGTCTACTAAATTCCCTCACAAGCAAAAAATTAAATTATAACAACAATAATACAGATTTACTTAAATCATCAGATGACGTATGACCATAAGTGCATCAATGTTTTGTTTTTTGCATGACTTGACATTTTTAAAGCGTACAATGTCGCAACTAATTAATTTTCTGTCCGCTTTTTTTCAAATGAGCTGCTCTGATTATAAATTTGTGTGTTGTTGTTGTTGCTGCTGTGTTCCCAAAAAGATATCAAATGTAGATCTCGCCATAATTGAGGGCAATCTCAATTAAAAAATTGTAAGTAAATTTAATTTAATAATTTGCATTACGTTGTTTGGAACTGTTATCATGACAAGATATGTTGTTGTGGTAATTGAGAAGGGGGTTTTGGCGGAATATAAACGAATGTGGGCATGTAATTTGCTTACATTGTAAATAGAATGTTAAGTTTTGCATTTGCTGATAAAATGCGAAAAAAGTAGTAACAATAATGAGAAATTCAATTTAACTTGTGTAAATAAATGTAGAAGAGCATTTTCATGTTGAAAAAAAAAATGGGAGGGAAAGTAAAAATTGATAACACGTACGTGAGGTGTAAAGATATAGGAAAATTACATCTACAAGACATGTAAATGTCAAAATAAAAAAGGCAATAAAGTACAGCACATGGCACAATGAATTGGTAGTCCATTTAGCGCAGCCGATGTCTTGATTAACTGTCAAAGTGAGTAATTTCTACTTGAATTCGATGTGCAGTGTTGTCAAACATTTGAAATATTATATGGACAAATTTGACAGATAATCGAGACAAAAACAAATGTTTTTGTTTTGATATATCACCTTATTATTGCATCATGGTACAGCACTACCAGATTCTAATAGTACCTTTACATTGTACCGGATTTCGTTAACCCAGTAGCATGGCACAATAAATAAATGGACTAAGCTTAGCTGATGACTCGATTAACTGTCAAAGTGCGTAATTTCTACATGAATCGATGTGCAATGTTGCCAACCATGTGAGAAATTTGACAGACGGTGGAGACAAAAACAAATGTTTTTGTTTCGATACATCACCTTATTAGTGCATCATGCCCAATGGGTTTCAATTGTCAATTTCATTGTATACATGTCAAATAAATCATCATAGAGTAGGTTAACCCGGTAAAAAAGCTCTAATGTAAATGCCGTTTATAATTGTCATTATGGCACAAGAAATATGTACTCCATTTAGCGCAGCTGACTATCCGATAAACTGTCAAAGTGAATAGTTTCTACATGAATTGGTCGAGCAATGTTGCCAACCACGAGAAATATTAGAAGATAAAATTTAACAGATGGTCGAATAAAAACAGATGTTTTTGTTTTCATACATCACCTTATTATTGCATCATGATTGACATATTAAAGGAACTAATCAGCTGATAAGGTTGGCAATTGCTTAGCGATATATTTTCTTATAAATTTATAAAACGATTCGAATAAGAAAATTCTATGATATTATGTATATTTCAAACAGCTGATGATTTTTGATATTTACAGATAAAGAGGAAAACAGTACTCGACATTTAAATCGAGATATTAGGTATAGCTTAAATGCACTTGGATCTCTAAAATACAATGAAACATATGGTCTTTTCCCGCACAGCAATATTCTACATATTTTTACTATTTTCTTCAATATCATAAAGGAAAAATTGTTATCGTAGTAAAAAAAATTACATTCGTGCAGATTCTGGAACAGATCAAATGTCTTCTCCTAAATTTATTTTTCTACTCCCGTTTAATATGATATGATGTAAACGTTGTTATTCATCGTATCTACTTTCCTACGATATCGCTATTTTAGTTCTCATTGACCATGAAAATGCTTGTTACGAACCTTCACCTATATATACATCCATCCATTCTAAGATATTTATTTCCATATCTTTTGTTATATTCATATTCCCATAAATGTATATTTATTATCACATCTGTATTTCTATATCGTCGTATTAACGGATATACTCGTAGTGGTGGTATCGGCTAATACGTTTGATGCAAATTTTTTCTTACCGGCACTTTCGTGGTCAATGAATGACGTAGACACCCAATGTAATCTAATACGTTATTGTTATTTATAAATACTAGATGGATATTGTTAATTGATTTTCAATAAAAAAAAACTAAATTGCAGAGTGACAACAATTAAATAAATAATGAAAATATTTTATAATATTGAACAGAGATGGGAGTAGTGCATTATTTAAAATGTAAAAAATATAAAGTGCATATGGTAATGAAAAAAGAGAAATTAGTATGAAGAATATAAGAAAAATACAACTCTGTAGTGTTGGCTTCTTATGTCATCCAACATTTAGTTTCGTTAATTTTATATTTTGGGGAAATTATGTTTGATTTGTTTCTTTCTAAAAATGCAAGAAGATCTTTACAATTCAACCATGGCACAATAATAAAAGGTAGGACAACTTGAGTTGAATAAGAAAAAAACAATTATGTAGGTTGTGGCTTCTTCTGCCACAAGGCTTATTATCAGGGTCATCTAAAGAGACCAGCTGTATATCAGCTGCTTCTCAACTTTGCCATCAAACCCATTATTGTGAATGGACTTTCATTGCGAAAACGTAAACATGTTCAAAATAGTCAATAAATAAAGACTATTTTCGACATATAACTAAAAACTCGGAAAATGAATGAAATGATATGAGTTCTTCCTAAAATCCAGTATGGAATGCTTGTTTGTCATCTATAACAAAGTAATTACTACCAGAGTAGGAGCACATTTAATAAAGAACAATTTCAAATTGTATGCGTTCCCAATTTTCTTGTTGGGTGATTTTTAAAAACGTAATTTGTCAAATTCGTATTGACACTAGTATTACGTTGGAATCAAATCAGCTGGGATTTACCTTATATAATTGTACCATGTAGAAATCAGCTGATTCTAATAAAAATTAAAAAATTCATTCGCCATAATAAACTAAATTCACTCATTATCTCGATTTTTTGTGCCATCCTGTGCGTAATTGAAATAATTTCAAATGCAACACTGTTTTTTGTATAAAAAGAAAATACATCACCAAAGGCATTTACATTACCATGGAAATCAGCTGATCGTAATAAAAAGTGAACACAAGAAATTTCAGAGTATTTACCTCGTTTCATCATACGAAATTAAAT